GAACTTCAGAAATACCACAGTAGAAAGCAAAAGGTGTGGTACCACATCTTCGCCGTCTTTGAAGATGATTTTTAGAAACGCCAAATATTTGGCAGAACGTTTTCCCAAGCTGACATTTTTTGAGTTTAACCTTTTTGGCGCGGCGGAAATTTCGCGAAATTTTCTCTCAACTTCTTACCGCCGCGTTTATTTTACAACCGGTCGGGATCATCCAAAGAAATTCGTGTTTTTCTTTTTGACTTTTCAAAGATTTAAGGACCCCCCGTCAACAATTCCGGGTTTTTTGAATAAAAAAATAAAACTTTGAATATTTGAGCCGGAAGTCAAACTACCAGTTTTTCGAAAAATTAGCTCTAATAAAAAAATAATTAACGGAACAAATTTGAGTGGCGCACCTTAAGACGGTTGTCATTTGCATGAATCTTGGGTTGATTTGCATTTTCCGCGATTTCTCGCCACTCTCTTTGAATCTACCATCCATTCATCTCTCTCAATAATAGCACTTTTTTTCTCTGTGTTCGATCGATGCTACTCTGCGCTAGAATTGATTAGTCCAGTAGTGATAATTCTGTACTTTCTCGAAATGCGATACATTCGCGCTTCTCATGCATTTTCAAATACTCGACGGGAATTATTTAGATTCCGCGTTTTTGGGAACGACCAAAAGGTGAATCTACCTTCTGAAAATTAAATTTCGATCTTTTTTCAACCCTTTTAATTATTTATTCTTCTCAAAAAATGGCTCACTAAAACTTATAATCTACAAGTGGAAAATACAATTCTGTGTTTGGCGACCTGTGTAGAATTCTGAATTCCTGAGTGAGGATTAAAAAGAGCGTTCATCAAAAGCTGACTCAGGTTTTTAAAACAGGTTGCCGAGTCCTGCAATTGATTTCTTCTTCTTGTAATTCCCCCAAAAATAAACCTGTCTTTGGAATTCTTTTTCTGCACTAGAATCCCTGCATTTTTCGTTAATTTAATTCTCCGACTAACAGTTCAGTTTTGTTTGAATAATCGTGCCTTCGAAAGTCCTATTTTTGCTTCATTCGGTTTTTTTTTATTTTATTATGTTTATCGAAAAACCAGAAAAAAAGTATTATTTTGGCAGCAAACTATTCTCGCCCCGTTGCATAAATTTACAAACTGAGATACACAGATCAAGATTGCACCTCAAAGCCGATAAATTTCATCAAATCTGTGTTTTACACTAACATAATTTTTCACTTTATTTTTTCTTGCTACACTACTAGTTAGTAATTTTATTTTCAGGAATCGACGCACTCCAACAATTCTTCATCTGCCACTTCATCATTTTCAGAAGAGAGATCGACTTACTGTACAATTTGAAAACATCAAATAGGCATGATATCAACCAGAAATTATAATTGATTTGATCCAGAGAAGATGATTTTCAGGGAATTTTGAAAGGGCGTATTTTCAAAAACTACGCCATCTAGCGGATTTTCTCGGCTAATCAGGACTCGTAGAAAATAAGAAACATGTTCTTGGATCTGATTGGTTCCGATTAATAACTCATTAGCGCCCTCTACAGAAGAGTTCATTAGCCAATAAGATTCAAGTAGAAAATTTCGATTTTTTTCTCGATAAATTGGAAAATGCGATCTTTCCAAACATAAATAACATCTTTTCTACGTCTTCTTTTAACTATGTTTTCTCATAAAGAAAAAACGTATTTACGTTTATTACGAAAACTTTCCTCCCTCTCCTCTTCTCTGGAATAACCAATTATCCTTCTTCCCAAATTACATTTCTGTAAACTAATTTTATTTTTTAGGTACGTACCCGCTTTAAAAAAAAACGAGAAAAAAAACGATGAAGTCGCGAGAAAGTCGCAACTCAAAAAAACTCCAGCTGATTCGCCGTTGCGTCAAATTCCATCAGCGCTAGAATTTTTTTCCCAAAGACAAAATTTTCTTAAGGGTGTCTCAACGATAAAAAATCCATTAAAATTTGGCTCCTCTAAATGGGTTTTCTATTTTATTGATAAAAAATAACTAAAATGACCTTGATTTTGACCCTGGGAAAAAATCTAGCGCTGGTGGTTTTTACGCACGTCAGGCTGGACCATTTTCTATCTGAATAAACGTGACACATTCGGCAGGAAGCAGGCAATCAGCAGCTACTTAATTTGATTAGCAGTTTAGAATCTTTATAGCCAGTTCTGTTTCTTTTTCTATTGCATTGGATTTCATTTCATTTGAAATTTTTGGGGAAAAATAGCAAGAAACGCTTGAATGTTTTTGTTGCATAAATAGCTACGCAGGAGCACTAGAAAATAAGATGTAACGGAGACATAATTGAAAATTGCGAAGAAGACTGATTTCGTGAATTGCCGCGTTGCGTTGATGCGATTTACGCTCGGAGACGCATCTTTTCCCTTCTGCGGAACTGTCTGTTGTGACCGCAAATGCGAACACCATCAGATTGACTTTTTGGACCCTTCAGGTGGAGCAGCACCTGACATCCGAGCAAAAATGGAAATTTCAAATTTGGAACATCTCTTTTTTCAAAACTCAGCAATGTTTTCAATAACAAAAATAATTTTAAGGAGATTGACATCAATAATCGCCTTTTTTAGGAAGTTTTTCTTCAAAAGTTATCAAAGTGAGACCCTTAAAAATACTCTGCTGGGCTCGAAAACCTGTGTAGAAAACCTGAGCCAGGGTATTTTCATCCTTCAGGCCCTGACTCAGGTTTTTTTTACAGAAAGCTTGGACGGAAAATTCGAATATCGATGTCAACCCCCTTAAATTTGAGGCATTCCTTATGTAAGCACTGGGGTAGCTCTTTATCCAAAAAGGCAATGATATGACAGCTTCTTAAATTTCTGCGTCTTTCTTGACCAAAATCAACGGCAATCGCGGTAGACCCCAACGCTCCACCTGGACCCACGTGACTGGTTTATTACACTGATTTGGCAAGGGTAACAAGCGATTGTGGTAGCACCAGAAATTCTTATTCTAAGCCATTTTCACGAATCAAATATTAGCTCTAAGAAAAGTACTCTTTTTGATGTCAAAAATTTTCATCAAAATTAGCCTATTTTTGATCAAAATTAAAATCGTTAGAAATTCAAGAATTTGACCCTCTAATATTTTTCGAAATCAATTAGGAAGCAGTTACTAAATATCACTTGTCAAAATCCAAACATCGAGAATATTTGCTAGAGGATCATTTTTTTCGGAAGTCATAATTCTTATCGACCTTTTGAGAACTGCTTCAATCAGCGATTTTCTATTCCGTATTTGACCTCTATTGAAAGTTTTCTGCTTCCGGAGGCGTTTTTCTTTTCCCTGTGAAAAGGACAAAAACCAGTGGAAATTATCTTCCTGCTTTTGACAGCTATTTCCGAACTTGAACTTTTTTGTCTCCGTCGATAGATTTGAGTGCTGTTATAACTGAAGCGCAATTTTCTGAACAGTTATTCCTCGATACGCTTTCAGTTGAGGGCACACCTGAATTCGCCTGAATTCTTTCAGAGTATTACAGTCAGACCTGGCGATTTTAGGGGCAGTTTTCTGCCGAAATATTAAAAATAACTCATTGCATTTTGAGCATCCCAGTTCGGAATTCTCATCTAAAGTCATTGATAAATAGGTTTATGGTAAACGGTTTATCTTATCGGTAATAAGAGGCCCTTGGGTTGAAATATTTTTCGACATAAGTTTTCTTCGCTATTCCTTTTCGCGGCTCGTTATATTTTATACCGCAACATAACACGTGAGGTACCAACGTCAGTAGCTTGCTTTAATCCAATATTATTAATGAAACCCAACATTGTGCAATCTCCAATGAACATGTTTCATGTTTTTGTCCAGCCCAAAATCCAAGCCTCAATATCATAATGACAAGTTCCTCCCGGACAGAAACAAACCTGATACTGATTATGGCGAAATTGCGTCCTAGAATCTTTCGCCATCAAAAAAGCATCAGTAGCGGATTATCCCCAGCACCCTTGTCTTATCATCACCAGTCTTGAACCAGCGAAAAATTGCAAAAGAAGCAATCCGAACATTTCGATCAAAATCAATTTTTCAGAACTTCAAAAATTAGGGTTAGAGTTCGGAGTCGTAACTTAGGGTTAGGGTTAAGGGTAGACAGAAAGTAAGGGGCATTTGAAATTTTGAATTGTGTACTGCAACAATGATTAAGGAGCTCCATTAAAGACGCAGGTTTACCGCAAGACATTGATTAATAATCGCCGTAGCAGGTTAAACAACTTCTCGATTATGAGAATTATGCATTTCAATTGAATCGTTTTTCGTCCACTAAAACTGCTTTTTTAGATCTCTCCTCGCCCCTTCCGCTTCTGCCACTCCTGCCGTTCCTTATTTCAAATTCAACAAGCTAATAACTCTTTTTAGATTTTGACCTTTGACGAAAAATTGAAAACAGAATTCTATCGTAATTTTATTTTGACAACAATCGAAATCGGATTATGGGAGCCTTGGAAACAGCCATTCGGAAGCATTAATAATAATATTTTCTATATTTTTACGAAATTTTGAAATAGGAAGCATTTTGACTGCAATTTGAGTCGCTTTTTTCGTGTTTGAGAAGAACACGTGGTAAGAATTTAAACGTTATGAGAGACGTTTGATTTTGACGAATACTTGAGGTAAATTCCCACTTTTGTCGAAAGAAGTTTTATCGCCGCACGTTGGAAAACGCCTCGACGAGAAACGGTAAGAATGGCCGAGATAAGGAGCCTCCAGGAATTTGTGGAGGGAATGACGAGAGCCAGATCTTGTGGGAGAATAGATATTATTCGCGTTTTCTCGATATGATCATCTAAAAAAACTGGCTAGAAAAAATTTGTTTTTCAGCAAGATTTGAACTCACGACCTTCTCCACCACAACTTCGATTTTGTGAAAAAAGTCTAGAAAATATGAGTTCGAATTTTGCAATGATCGTTTTTTGTCAATAAATACCGATTAATTCAGATTATAATTTTTTCAGGATTCTGGTACAGTCAAAAATGCTGCCCTTTTGGGCCCTGTTACTTGGCACGGCCGCTGCTGCTGTGCCCAACCGTGAAGAAATCAACGAATCTTGCAATGTTCAAAATGCGCTTGGTTCTGTCGTGAGGACGGCTTACGCCCGTTTGTTGGCCGTTCACTGCGCTACTGGAGGTAAGAGCCTTATCTTGAGCCCCACCTTTTAACAAAAATCAACTTGTCAATTTTCTTGTAAACGAGTATTTTTATTTCGAACATTCTTTTCAATGGTATTAATTTTGCGAAGCGAGAAAGTGTTCCGAGAAGCACTCGTCGATCTTTGCCCAATTTCTGATTTTCTTCTTAATCCGGCTCAACGCTAGAAATGTGTTGACTTCGAAAAACTGGCCGATTCTGAAATTCACTAAAGCTAATCAGATCAGCGCCAAGAGCTGCTCAAACCCGAGCTTATCCTCCAATTCTTCGCGTAATGACAACATCGTTTCGTGAAGCATTCCATCCACTCTGAAAAGAGCATTTTTACTTCCCAACCAGGAGATTAGTTTCAAGCGGTTTTCCCTTCTTTTTTCTTTGATTATTGTAAAATCAAACAGTTATACGTAGAACAAGCCACCCTTGATGACAAGAATACATACCAGGAAAACCGCAAGGCCACGAAAAAATCTACCATTGGTAGTTTTGAAAACATCCAAATTTTTAGGGTTTCACTGATAATTCTAGATTGCAAAACTCGTATTAAGTCTGGGCTTGGAAACCTGTGTAGAAACCTGACTCAGGCCTGACTCAGGCGAAGCAGTATTTGAAATACTGTATTTCAGGAACATGAGTCAGGTTTCTACACAGGTTTCTGAACCCAGTAGTTGGATATTATGTAAGCCTTAATTTAAGCCCCGTTTTTAAACTCATCTTTATTCATAATTATGCAAAAACAACCCTAATTACCAGCAAACATTTTGGCACGTTTGGACTCACCTGTTTAGAGTTTTTCGCGAAATTGCTTCTTGAAAGGGATTTTAACGTGACCAAGAGAGCGCTAGAAATCAGCCCTGCTATTAACCCATTTAGCGGACATTTAGACTAGCCACATTTCTCAAGATATCCCTCTTCACGAATTTCTGAGTCAAAAACGAAAATTCAAAGCTTTTCAGTCCTCTCGGTTTTTTTAAGAATATCCTAAGACCGAGAGGGTGAGCTAAAAATGACGGGCGCAGATGTGGCTTTTGGTAAAAAAGGGTAGATGCAAATCCGAACAGCTTGTATACGCTTATGCAGATCGCGGCCAGTCCACCAGATCGCCAACAGGGATGAGATCTCGAAGGCAAGCTCATGCAATTGGGATTTGAAGGATTTACTATCGTGTTGCGAGAGATTTTTTAGAAATATAGATAAGATTTCTTCAAAATCTTATGTTCAGAAAAACATAAGAAAGTCTGGGCTCCTCAAACCGTGTTTTAAATCTGAGTCAGGGTCCTGAAAGAGGCTAGCTAAAAAGAACTTCAGAAATTTCTAATTAAAAGCCGCGTAGCGGCTTTTTTAAGAAAGAAGCCGCGAAGCGGCTTCGCATACTTATCTTCTGAATCAATTATCAAATTCTTGCGAAGCCGCTATGCGGCTTCGTTTTTGAAAAAGCCGCTAAGTGGCTTTTGATTGAAGTTCTTCCTGACTCTGACTCAGGTTTTCTACACAGGCTGCCGAACACAGTTTTCAGTAAAAATAATTACTGTTATTTAGAGTTCATTTGTAAAGAAGAAAACTGTAATCTCTCACAAAGTTAGTCTACCGTTCCTTTAGGAAGTGGCCTCTCAAGCGTGACATTTTCCTGAAGGAAGTTTAAACTTTAAAACGCGCCGATTCTCACGTTAGAATACAGTACCTTTTGCCAACTTCTGTCGGGCGGTTCTTCTGCTTCTTTGATCTGCGCCGATCTTGTATGCACTGGACTTGCGCTCATTTCCGACAATTTGGAGAGATTTCGAGAGTCAAGCATAAGCGAGAGAGCACTAGAATTTCGGCTCAGTTTTGAGATGACTTTTTAGAAATTTTCGATTACCGAATCACATCTCGCAAATCTCGGTTTACTGGAGCTCGGAAGGGAGTTAAATGAGTCTTCGCTTTTTTTACCAGATGAAAAACAAGAAATTCTAGCGCTCCGGGGGACATTTGTCAGCTTGAGTTAAAATTCTAGCCCGGTAAGTGGTTTCATAAGAGCTGTGGTAACACGTTATTAATGTTTCTAATCCGGAACTGCGGAAGTTTCTCGGGAACGCTTTGACGGGATCGCGGGCGGCTGGGTAATCATTACCTCCTCCTTATCGAAATTGCCAGGAAACGCTGATCGCACAGATGCATTGCTAAAAAGTTTCATTGCAATGCTGTTCTTTTTCGACTTTGAAAAAAAGCTTGGGATCGAAAGGTCACGAGTTCGAATCCCGTCGAAAATTTTTTTTTCTCGAAAATTGGGTACTTAAAATTCTGAGTATTTTTAAAAATATCTCGCAAGCGTAATCGAGTTTATTCCAAAAATACGTCTTCGTCGGAAAAGTACACGGGAAAATGCAGCGCTAACCACTAAACACTGATCTGTGTTTTGCCGTTAATCGCGTCGCTAAATTCCCCTGTATCGAGATTTTCTACAAGATCAATTTAAAATTTCAAACTACGAACTTGATGATTGGAGTAGCTGCTGAAGAGTGGTTGCTTGAGCACTCGGGGATGAGACGAAGGATATCATCTAGGAGAACTTGATCGCGTGTTTCTAGCACTTGAGAGCGCTGATCAGAGACTTCCCCAATTTTACCACAGAATACGTAATTATTAAGGGCCCCCTTAAGGAAGCCCAGAGAGATTTTTAACGAGCGAAAAAGTCTGGTAATCGAACTATCGAGAGCCTCTTTTCCGATGAGCAAGATTGATAAAGAGAATCGAACCCTCCTCCTCCTCGTTTGATCCCCCTTCATCAAAATCCTAAACAGCAGCGTTTTGAGGAAAAAGACGAAACGTGCTGTTCCATACTGTTCTCCTCGAAGCAGGGCTGCTTGTTGATGTATCTTCGACCGCCTGAATAATATTTGAATATTCATTGCTTCTAATTTTTGTTCTGCTTGTTTTTCGGGTATGCGTCACCTCCAGTACTCGATGGTGGAAGTGATAAGCCATGGACCACTTGTCAGTTTGGTCCGGTTGCTGCTCCAGAAAAAACTCGCTGAGTGTGCGGGAAAAGACGTTTTCCAGGATCTCTTCGGGGTCTTTCGAACCGAAGTGGCCTCAGAAGATCCCTCGCACCTAGAGCTGTGCTCGGAAACCTGTGTAGAAAACCTGAGTCAGGGTCCTGAAAGAACATCAATAAAAGCCGCAAAGCGGCTTCAAGAAAATAACCCTCTAGGCGGCTTTTTATAAAAGCTCTTTGAGAACCCTGACTCAGGTTTCTACACAGGTTGCCAAGTCCATTCTTTGAAGGTTCAAAAAAAGACCTTTCCTTCTCGACGAATTTCCATGATGCAACTAAAAGTAATCCCTCACCTGATTAAATTCATGTAAAACGCGACTCTCAAAATCGAAACACCACTTGTCTAGAGCTTTTTCGGAAATAAAATTTTGAGTGCGATCAAAATTTCCGGAACCAATTTTTCGTTTTTCTATTTACCTCTCACAGGTGAGCAGGAAGTGCACAGTGCCCGATGGAGCAGCTCTGAATAGATTTTTAAGCATTTCAAGGGCGAATTTTACGTTTTTGCGTCTTTTAATTAGTTTTACCTTGAAGATCAGGGAAATTTATGAGTTGAAGGAGGCCCAGACTTTGCTAAAGAAAAAGGGAAAGTAATTCAACTTGGATTGATTTTTAAACTCACGTTTTTCTCCGCGACAAGGATCGCAATAGAATCCAGGAGCGCCAAAATCATTCGGATATCTGAATTTGATAGGCAGCGTCCAACACATGTTTTCACCTTGCAATGTTTCAGCTTTTTGCATCAGCTGGTAGTGCAGTTGAGCCAGCAACCGTTGTAGCCCGCTGAACATGATTTTGGAACTGGCTTGTTAAGCTACTTGCTAGTAGAAACCTGAGATGGAGAAAATTGTTTATTTCGGAGTCGCGGGCTTCAAGGAGGAATTTTTTGATTTTATTGATTGTGTGTCTTTTTCGCGGGGTTCCGCGACCTGCGTCGAAAAGCTGAGTCAGGGGCCTGAAAATCTTCTCAGGACCCTGACTCAGGTCTTCTACACAGGTTGCTGAGCTCAGCTATTCGGCAAAGATCTCAGGAGCTCTGCTAAAACTGCTGAAGTGCTTTCATCGTCATTTTCTATCTTTCCACGGCCAAATTATATGATAAAGTCAAGTTTATTCTAGCGTAGACATTTGGAAAAACAAAAGTGGTTATGAAAAAAAGTGGCCCGCGAGTTCCTTCGTTGTTTTGACATTATAAACCGCGGTCGATTTTGTCTTCCGTTCAGGCCGAAGAGACGCAGTTTTTCTCTTTATCGTGCTGAAAACACAGTGGATTGTGTTGAAACGCGAACTTTCTCAAAGAGGCAAATCTCTTTTTTTACCGGAGTAGACGATTTTTCATTTTGAACTTTGAAAAATTCCTGAAGAACTGGAAAATTTGAAACATGAACGGTTTTGTTTTCGAAGGGAAGGAAATTACTCTCTTTTTTCATTTCAACCGACATATTCAAATTCAACAAGTCATTAATAATTATTGAATCATATTCATAATCGGCTATCTTCATATTCATATTCAATTTAGTGAACGAGCAAAAAACCAGTCATCTTTACGATTTATTCGAACCTTTGGACGCCATCAGCTCATTCTGCTCCGATGCTGTCGACGGATCATCCGCACATTCAGCCCTTTACGACATCCAAAAAGGTCTTCATCGTCCAAGTCATTCTTCTTCGGATCTTTCCCTCTTCGACGGATCAGATGAAATCAAACGCGAACGATTCCAAATCGGCCGCAAAATTCTCGACTCTTTCGAAAACATCGTTTGCGAAGACAGCGACAAGGTGCAAAACGCGGTCGAACGAATCTTCACCAGAGCACGTGATGGAAGCGAAGATGCCCAGCGACTGTTCGGCTTTGCCAAGACTGAAAGCCTTGAAGATCATTGCGACAATGTCGAAAAAATGATGATGCCCAACTCCGTCATTTTTACGAGAAAGAATGAGAATCAACCGGAATCGGCGAAATTGCCCGACTTGGATATGGACAACGTAAGAACGAAAACAATACTAATCTTGGCTCGGCAATCTGTGTAGAGACCTGAGTCAGGGTCCTGTCACAGGCCTTCTGAATGAGCAGCGGCCTTTTCAGGACCCTGATTAAGGTTTTTACAAGGGTTTCCGAAAAGAATTGACCTTTTCTTATTACAAAAGTTGTTCTATGAAAATGACGTGATTTGTTTAGCTACTGGAAATAATCGCTGATGCACGAGAAAAGAGCGAGATTTTCATCTTTATCGACTCTCCAGTGCTGAAAGACAAATCAACCGCCGTCGGGGTCGCTTCACTAGCGCAAACAAAGGTACAACAGATCAACTTTTTCAAGGAAAACAAAAAATAATCTTTTTCCAAGCGAATTCATTTTTATAGGATTTATTACTACAGGAATTTGTACAGAGTGAAGGTTCTTGAGTTCGCTGTTTAGGGATAATGAGCATTGAAATTAACAATCAGTCACAGTCAGTGATTCTTTTTCGTTTCTTTTTGAGTTCGATTTTCAAACTGCGCTTCCCAAGTCGATGGAAAATCTGACTCTTCGGGGTTGACAGCCAGAGCTCTTTCGCGAAGACGGATTTTTCGACCGATCGAGCATTGCCGAGGTCAATTTCGCGGCGGTCTGGATCTTTTTGGTGATTTCGTCGACCTCGTCAAAGACTCCTTCCTCTTTATCTTCTTCTTCTAAATATTTTATTAAAACAAATCGGCTTCTAAAATGTCTGTATTCGACATAACTGCCAGATACAGTAGTGGTCTGACAGTTGAGGACAGCCATGAGCTTGACAGACTGTATCAAGATCACAGGGAGATTATCTGCTTTCATTTTTGAGATCATTCAAACAAAAATTCGAAGTTTTCGACTCGCACAGCTATTTTCTAGCTTTTTCGTCTGATAAAATTAAATCGGTCAACTTAGGGTTAGGGTTAGGGTTTAGGCTCGGCAACCCATAAAGAAAACCTGAGTCAGGGTTAGGGTTACGGTTAAAAAGGACTTAGATGAAAAGCCGCGGAGCGGCTTTTTGGAAAAAGAAGCCGCTTTGCGGTTTCACCAAAAAAAACCGCTCAATCCTTTTTAAAATTCAAGCCCAGGTTAGGGTTAGGGTTTTTCTTACCTAATGCTCTGAGCGCCTTGATAAAGTCATCTGAGGGTGAACTGGCTGAGGATCCAAGTCGCGTAGGAACTATTTAAAAAATGTTCTTACAACCGATGAAAATATTTCAATTTGGTTTTACCTGATGCAGATCTGATAATCGGCTTGTGTGTTGTCATTGTCTGTGGCATTTAAAAATACTGTAGTTTTTCTCTTTGAATTTTTGATTGAGTTGTTTCGCGAATTTTAGCTTTGAAAGCGTCTGTATCGTAAGAATTCGCTATGAAGATGGTTTTTGGTTGCAGAATTATTCTTTGTGAAACGCGCTGCCCCACTCGGCGTTAAAAATAGGACTAGGGGCGCTAAAGAGGGGCGCGCTCGGGAACTTCCAAAGGCCAAAGAACTTGTCCTGCCCCGAGGCGTGCATATGGGCGATAGCTTCACTTTGATGGACGTGTTCTGATACAGTATCGGTGAAATAATTTCCCTTCTCTAAATAGGGAAACAAACAAGGAGATTATGTAATTTTGATTAATATTTGCACTAGAATTGGATTTAGTGAACTTTTACTGCATCCATCTAAGTATGTACAGTATTTATGACGAATAGAATGACCATTTCTTTCTCACGGTTGCAACTTCGTGGCAATTACAGTAATAAAAATCCATTTCCGCCTACTCAACTCAAGCTGCTTTCGATTTTCCAGTAATGCTGTGATATTAGCTCAGTAGTTTGTAAAAAGCGCGTGATTGCGGGGCGGCACGAGTTCAGCAGATTTTCAATAACACTATTCAAGCACCTCTTCAAGTATGCTCAATTGAAATGTTTTAAACAAATACTGTAGTTGTTACAGTATTGCTCGGTGAGCAAGAAGTAAACTTGGAGTCTTATTTTATTTTTTGGAATGGTTAATAAGTTTTTGAAGTTGAAGATAAATGGGCAGCTTCAGAAAAAAACGTAAATGAGGTAGTGTTTGATAAATGGAAGTGCTTCTAGTTTTGTTCCTTCTCCGGATGCAGAGTTGGTTTATTCGACCGCAATGTTTGGCGCGTGCTCGACATCGCCTTGAGAAAGTCGCTTGTTCGAGACTTTGGTGACTTTTTCGATGATTCCCAAAGTTTGAACTTGAGTGGAGCAAATGTGAACCCTGCCCTTGAGCTGAAGCTTTCTGGGTCAGTTTGGGGTCTGTGTTTTGGAATCATTTCCTTTGGTGGCGTTCCATCGTCCCGAGCGATCGTTCCACTCGATGGTGCTCTGCACCCAATCATCCTTCTTGAGCGTGTCGAAGCCGTCTGCCTCGCTCGAGTGGAAGAAAATGTCCCCATCGACGCCCTGAAAGTTCTGATAACGAATACCATAATTTCATGTTTGCACAGGTTCTGCGGCTCAGACTCACTTCTATTCTGATGAAGCCAAAGTTTTCTTTGACGAGTCTGATCCAGCCGATCTGCGGCTCAGCTGGCTGCACGTTTACGGCATAGCACCCTTCTTCCATTTTTCTTGTCATAAATCGGACCTGAATTGAGACCAGTGGATTAATCAATGAGGCGCAGTTCTCACCTTTGTTCCAACATCCAGACGGACGTGGGTCAATTCATCTGCAGAAACTGTCACGAAAGTCTCACACTACAGTTTTTTATCTGGATTAATGAAAGCTAGCACTAGAATTTCCGCTAAAAAGGGGTTATCTTTCTAGCTTCCCTAATCCTTTGGCTAACCCTAGACTTAGGGGCATAGGATGGGGTAGTCTAGCTATATTAGCCAATAAGAAGGCCGTATCTCTTGTTTGGGCCAATCAAAGACCGCCATCACTCTAAAAAACCGTTCCTCGGGACCTTCTCCGCAGCTCATATCCTTTTCCATTTGAATCTTTCCGTCGACCTCGCCGTCCGGCATTTCGAACATGACTCCGTTGTACAACATGTCCGAGAGTGAATCGTCCGAGTGCTGCGAGGAGATCGATCTGTAATCCTCAATTAAAACCGTCTGTCGAATAATCGGGGCCTAACCTTGAATCTGAACAGGATTTCCTCTCTTTGCGTTTGCGCCCTTCGGATTCAGGCGAGAGCTGCAGCTTGGATTGCGCGATGATCCGGATTCTGAATCGAGCTGTAGCTGCAAACAAAATGACATGCCAAAGTCTAACCTAGTCGCGTGGCACCGGCCGCGGTAATTTGCCCGTGCAAGTGGATCCCGAAGGGTCAGGAACTCCACCTGGTCGCCGACTTTGATTTTCTTCGTCGATGCGGGCTGAGAGTCGAGCACTTCCGATGAGTGGAAGAAGATGCGCGAGTCGCCCTTTTGAGCCTAAAAAAGGGGAGTCACTAAGAGAAAATTTAACCTATTCGTGCGCTTTGTCCCGATTGGGTTTCGCACTTTGCGCAAAGGTTAAATAATCAAAAAGAAGGTGAAGAAGTTACCTTTTCCCGTTTGATAAATCCAAAGCCCTCCTTGACAGCAGCAACAGCTCCTGAATCAGAAAAAGTTGAACTCTATTCAAGATCTCACTTTCAATATTTAACCCACTTGACGTTGAATCAGATGAAAGCGATCTTTCAAAAGCTACTCATAACTTGTCCTCCAGCAAGTGAACTTTGGGCGAGCTATTTGCAGAGGACAGTCTTTATGGGAAGCGGGAAGAGTAGTAACCATTGTCCCTTTTGCGATTCACCTTTTTCTCGTCGATTCCGGCCTTCCATTTTGTCTAGCACAAGGCGGATGTTGATCGCTCGCTCGCTCTTCGTTCGCCGATCTGTCGCAATGTTGAATATGATCCGGTCGTGTTTCTAGATTGATACAATCAGTTTTACGTATTTTACGATGATTGAAGACTCTCATTTCTCAGTCGCTTATGAAATTCGAGGGTAAAATCGGGGGTGGTGTCTGGAACCGACAAAAAATTTCGACAAATTTTGCGTAGGCGGCGACTCGGCTGCTGATTGGCCAGTTTGCCGAATCGAGGCTTCTGATTGGTTGAGAATTTCCAAGCAAAATTTGTCGAAATTTTTTTGTCGGTTCCAGACACCTCCCCTAAAATCGAGGATACCGTTTGTAGCCGTTTGGTCTCTCGAATGGTTACAGTAAATCCATTTATGAATACAGTAAGCATTTGAAACAGCGCTATCTGCGGACGGATGTCTGTCAGAACGCGGCGTTATCAGGCGACTCGACTCTTCCTCTTTTGCGTTTTTAAAATTCGATAACCAAAAATTGAAAAAGAAGACCTTTGATAATTATTCCTGAAGGACGAACTTACAAGGAGGGTGAATGAGCTCTGTCGATCGCGCTCAAAGTAGTGGAGCTCGTTTTTGCGACCGCCATATTTGTGATTTCGGAAAGAAACGATTCCCGGCTCGTATTTGATCTTGTAGTTCTTCTTGCCCTTGTCGTTGCTCAAATCCTTCTGAAATCGTTTCAACCTCTTCATGGTCAATTAAATTTTACCTTCAAGCAAGGCTTGGTGATTACTCCTTCGAATTCCATCGGGAAACCGTAGACATCTAGTTCAACATCGTCGAAAATGATCGGGAAGGATTTTGGAAGAATGGCAATTTTCAGCGCGACTTCTTTTTTGTCATGATTGCCGAGGGAGAAATCGACTTTATCCCCAACTTCAACCCTAAATTTTTTGAATGAAAATCGTTCAATCTGGGGTCGGCAACCGGACACCAAATAGCCGTGTCCTGTCCTGTCCTGTCCGGCAGGACATTTGAGAGGGCGATGTCCTGTCCTGTCCGGTTATGTCCGGTCGTGTCCGGTGATTCTTTTTTTACAAAAATTTTAATCAAAATACGTGGTTTTTAAGAAGAGTACTAGATATATGTATTAAAAGTAAATTAATAGAGATCAATAAGTACAGAAAACCGACAAAATTCGAATATAATATATTTTTCGTGAAGTTACGAAGAACAAATTTTGTTTCGATACACATTGTAGTGGAAAAAATAGGTTATTTAGAGGGTGAATTGTGGACCGGACACGGAACAGGACACCAAAAACCGGTGTCCTGTCCTGTCCTGTCCGGTAACAGGACATAAAACCGGACATGACAGGACACAGATGTCCTGTTGTCCTGTCCGGTTGCCGACCCCAGGTTCAATGATTTGGTTGATAAAGTTTTAAACGAAAGGTATTGTTAGTTTTTAGAACACGTTATATTCCTCGTCCGTTTCCGATCTATAATTTCCCAGCTCCGAGCATACCTATTATCCGCCTCGTCCTTGAGATCAAGAACTTGGGAGAAGTGAAAGAAGGTCTCGCTTTCGACATCGAGACGTTTGATGAACCCGTAACCGCTTTTTACGGAACAGACTTCGCCCTGAATCGGAAGTGGAAAACTGCGCGCGAAGGAAATTTCAAATTAGTGTACCTGGAAACGCTTTGCCTTGGCGGGGCAGATGATTTTCGCCGCATTCTTTTCTTTCTCGCGGTAGAAATCTACCCAGTCGTGCAGGCCAAGAGTTTTCCTGAAAATAATGTTTACCGCTTGTTAAATTAAGCTCCTTGGCGGAAATAAAACTTACTCTGAATCTGGAACATCAATAACATCACCGCCATTAAATCGGACAAAAACGCAAGTATTGTTGTGCTTCCACTCGATCACACCGGCCTTGTCCTCTTCCGGAAGATGAATGATTTTCCCATTTTGCTTTTTAGGATCGTATTCGGCATCGCAAAATCTGCTTTATGGGTGGATAAAAGCATTCAATAGCCCTTTTTAAAGACTGGCTTTTTCCTTTTTGCCGCCACCGTGCCTAGAAGGTCTTGCTTCAATGTTGATCGCTTCGATTCCCATTTGATTGCAGGCCAAGTCGCATTCAACGTGCTCCCGCTTTTTCAAGGCGATCTTTGAAAAAATAACAATTAGTGATCTCGAAAGATTTTTTGCTTACTTCTTTTTCCGCGAGCTGGAAGGGAACTTCCAGTCCAGTCAGCGCTCCTTCTTTCAGTCGGATGAGGCCGGAGTTGTCGTTCTCGGTGTGGACTACTACGCCGGATTGGCGGCCGGGGACGAAGTGGGGTGAGGTCAGATTGGGGACACTAGGATATTTTTGAGGATTTGATGCTCTAGAATGACCAGGACATTTTTTAATTCGATGATGTTTTGGAAATTATTGATGTTTTCAACAACCGGTTTCTATTCTAGAGCTCTTTGAAGAGCGACTTTTAAACAGTCTTGTTTGTTTATCAAAAATATGGGGGACTTACAAAACAGAAATGTTACCAATCTGGTTCATCATCATCATCCACGGGCTGAGAGCGGGGTCCGTGATGTCCATGGGTTCAAAATTTTTAGAGTCCGTAATTTTGAAAGACTTCTCGATTTTTTCCTTTATCGAGTCAGCTTAAAATCGAAGACGGGATCGCCTTGTCGCCGTCTTGTTCGCTTGGAAACTGATTAGCTCAACTGCAGTTGCTGACAACAAACTCAATTGGTCTAGAAACTAAATGCTCCCTTTTTAGAATCTGCAAATCAACATTTTGCTCATCAATCCAGAACGAATTCCGCGAGATATTCAGGCGATTTGGAGAAGTGTTGCGAGGTAAGAGTGATCTTTTATTACAGTCAATAATTTCGTGAGGAAATGTACTCGGCAATGTTCTTATTAGCAAAAGGTTCTGCTCCGCGGTCAAAGAATATTTTCATTTAGAACCGGGTTGGTCAAATAATTGGTGTTCTATTCTGACCGAGCCGGAAATACTCAATACACAATTTAGCATCGCACTCGCCACATCCGTCGGTCCTTTTTACCAATTTCAATTTACTCTTTTTTTCTTCCGTTGTTGATTTGTCTAACACTCCCGCGAGTTTATACTGTATCAACTGATGTATCGGTGGTATGTTTTCGAGTTCAGCTGGAATTTTCCGCGGGAAAATACGGAATCAGGGCTGGATATTTTGAAATCAGCAAAAATTTCAAATCGATTTTTTTGTGAAATCTCATTTTCATTTCAAAATTTTGCACCATTTCAACAAATCTCAAATTTCAATATTATTGCAACACCCTCGTCATAATTTTCTCCATTCTTGAGATTGCTGAGATCTCAAGATCTCAAATCTCAAAATTTTGCAAACCGCGCAAGGGCCGCTGACAAACGTCGCGGGCTTAGAGCAAGACTTGTGATTGGTTCAGATGCGTCTGAAATGCTTGAGATCTCAGCATTTCCAATTTCATTTCATTGCAACGCGCGTGTCCAACTCACGCAGTTTTCTGAGATAATTGAGATCTCAACATTTCAAATATCATTTTTTTGCAAAATTGAAAATTGAGATCTCAGACAGAAAATTTTCTGAGATTGCATTTTTGAAATAGATGAGATGATGATTCATGTTTTTTTCGGGGTTTGAAATTTTTGTTGATTTCAAAATATCCAGCCCTGTACGGAATAGTAGCTCAGAAATAAATGCTATTCAATTATTGTGAAAAGAGCCAATTCAAAACGATTCAAAGCTCCCTCTCTCGTTCGCATAATTGTGCCTTGAGGGCGTGCCCAGACGAAGGGCAGACTCTTTTATGAAAGATTCGAGTCGGGTCAAGTCAAGTTTCAGGTCAAAATATTTTTGGAATCAAGGAAGAGAACTGCATTGAAATTCGATTCCTTGTAAAATTGCTCGGCTAGGGTTGAAGCCGAAAGTTTCTCTTGCTTCTTCGGAATTTTCGTACTCGTCGACTTTTTCGAAGATTCATCACAAGAGCAATTTTTTCGCTAATCAGAAACATTTAACCTTGACCTAATACTGCAATCATGTCGCGGTCAACAAGCCCTCGGAGCGTTATCACCTTTTAAGCAGAATTAAGCGAGCCGATAACATTCGTAATACCTGCATAATATCTGATGCAATCGTCGGGAGAACACATTCAACGGTACTTTTGGCAGTCGCCAAGTTTGCCTGAAGATTAACGCTGTCAATTTTTGATGATTTTTGGCTTTTGAACTGACCCAGTAGCTGTCGTAGCGGCTCCCTGTACTTCGCATGTCGCAATCGCCATCGGCAAGCAATACAGTAGTTGGAATATCGTTACATAATTTTTGAATCGTTTTTGCGAGTTTTATGGAGTTGATCGTGCTTTTCATGTATTTTTCAAAGTTGCGATTCATCATTTTTGCGTTTAATTTTTCGAAAATCGATGGTCGTATAATTTCATTTTCGCAAATCGCTCTTTTGAGGTAAATTATTTTAAATTTTCTATGAGAAATTCATCAAGGATAGTCATCTTGACCCCTCCCAAAAAGTATCTGCGTCGGTACTTCATCAAAGTGAACATCAAAATCTTTGACTGGGTCCAAACCCTCAATCATTGTTTCTCCACTATGCTTTGATGGGTCTAAAACACAGAATTTCATTCCATGGTATCGGTGATAATTCTAAAAAGAAATTCATGTCTAAACAAGGTCTTTTCGGTTCACCTCATTTTTGACCTGAAGATCGGTAAAAACAGCTTTCACTTTTGAGAGTCTTCTTCCGACGATGTAAATAAACGAGTTTGGCATCTTTTTGATGCACATTTCCGCAAATGCATGTGCATTTTTCCCAGTCCCCATGATAACTAAACGCGTAATTTACCTTTCCTACGAGTATTTACCGATAATAGACGATTCTTTCTTCATTCTGGTTGATTCTCAGAGTGTAAATATATATCCTCATGCCAACGAGGGGCCTTTATCCCTTCTTGGCCTCTTTCCAGAGACAATTTTTCACCTTTCTTTACATTTTATTATTCAGATCGACGTACGGTACTGTCTACCAAACTCCTGCTTCTCTTCTGCACAAACTCTCTCCTCTCATTTGCGATGGAACTCGCAGCGAAAAGGCGCTCATTTTCTCCGACGATGTTACCGCCGATACTCCAATTTCCATCCCTGTCGACAAGTCTATCAGACAGCTCCATGTCGAAGTCTCTGGCACTCACATCGAAACCGTCATCGTCGATGCTCCTGATGGCGCTTCCTTTGAGCCAGTTCTTTCTAGAAAAATTGACTTTTCGAACTTGAAATATTTCCGATTTGAAAACGTCACCGATGGAAACTGGTCGCTTCGAGTTCTCGGCGAAGCTGATCACTTTAAACTCACTGTCTCTGCTTTTGCGAAGGTCAACTTTGAGTACTCCGTAACTTCTCAAAAAGACATCATGTCGCATACGATTCACAAAGACGGCGGACACGAATTTACTATCGGTTCGCGACGAGTTAGCAACAGCGACGGCGCCAACTTCATTTCAAACAACGCCGCTGGAAATGGAGAGCCAGTTGGAGAAATGAAACTTGCTGTTTCTCTTCCTCAAGCGCATTTCCATCGGATTCGAAGAACAACAAAGCCAATTTTTACCTCCGTTTCCCGAACTAACGAAGTGATTGCCGGCCGAACAAATGTCTTTTTCTTCAGAATTGAAAACGAAGGCGAAGCTCTTCAGTTCTCCGCTTCTTCTACCAACCCGCAGTGGCAGATCTCAATCTCTCCCGAAATTGCTGATAATCTTTCTTCCGTAACTGATCTGGAAGTTTCAATTACAGTTCCTCGCCATACCAAGCCTGGAGCTAGTGGTCAGATGACCCTTGCCGCGTCCAATGGAGAGATGATCGTCGGTTCAACTTCTTTCTTTTCCGAAGTCACCGACCAGCTCCCGCCCCGTATCGCTTCCAAAACCGTCACAACAAAGATTGAGAACCGCTTTGCGAAGACTGTCTTCAAAGCAGTCGCGGTCAATTCCCAGCCTTCCATGGCTGATGCTCCTTTCCGTACCATCATCCCCGCCAAGTCCTTCCTTACTTCCTTCTCCATCATCACCGCTGAGGGGCGCGTTTATAGATCGAAAATCGTCGAAGCATTCGAACAACCACAGGTTCAACTGAAAAGCGCTCTTGGAGTTGAATCAGCTGTTCCACTCCACCACAATCAGAAAATGCAAGAAGCTCTTGTCGTTGAATCAACTCAAAATGGCGAGTCGCGAGTCGTTCAAATCAAACAGGCTGGACAACATTTGATGGTTCGGGCATCTGTCGAGCCTTTCTCCAACTTGACTTACGTGATGGAATATGTTGAAGTCCTTGAGCGCACAAGAGGAAGCTACAGATTCGGAGTTCATTTCGACCCTGAATTTCCTTCTGAAAACCTCCAGGTGCGAATCATGGTGGAGGACGAGAACAGAATCAAGTTCCTCCAGCCAATGCCTCGTCAATCAAGCTCCGTTCGATCAGAAACCAACAAGCAGTTCTTTGATGACTACCACCGAGCCATTGTCGACTTTTCCCCCTCTATCGATTACAAAAGCTCTCGATACTGGTTCGGAATCGAATTCGACGTCGAGCAAACTGGATGCAGCTTGTTCACGGACTCTCAGTACTTTGTCCAGCGATGCCGCCCAGTTGATCTTTTCCCAGCTCGATTGAGAAGTTCATTTGGAATCAACGCTATCTTTTTGATTGATTCTTCCGGGTCGATGATGGGCGAAAGAATTGAGCAAACACGAGAAGCTTTTAAATTCATGATCGAAGCACTCAAGCCTGGAGACACTTTCAATATCGTCAGCTTTGAGTCGGTCAACAAGGTCTTTTCGGATAACCGAATGGTGCCAGTAAATGACAGAAGCACATTCGCAGCGCTGAAATTTATGGATCAAATGAAAGCAGGAGGTGGAACTGATGTCTACGCTGCTCTTGTCAAGGCTACTCTTCTTCTTTCACAGGTGGTTATTTTTACGTAAAACTCGCGCAAACAATTATTTTCAGAACAAGCGAGATTCAAACCAAGAAAATATCATTTACCTCCTGACCGATGGTGCTCCAACTTCAGGAGTCACAGATTTGACCTCGATTCTTGACATGGTTGATTTCATCGCCCATAAGAGCGAAATCGGTGAGCAATTCATTTTTCTTTTCTGAAAAAGTAATTATATCGTTTAGTTTTGAACACAATCGCATTTGGAGAAGAAGCGAACGACACGAAAATGAAAGACTTCCTGACCTCTCTTAGCGCTCGTTCGCAGGGAATGGTCCTCCGAGTTCCCTCTCGCGCAGATGCTCAGTACATGATGCAGGACTTCTTCCTTGAATCTTTGGTCCAAGCTCAGAAACGACACGGCATCAAATCTACTGACGTACGAGTCATCAACGAATACGGAAGATCAGGAGCGACAGAGCTTTCAATCGACGATTCAAATATTTCTCCATCGAGAGAGGTAAGAATCAAAAATCTCTTTCAAATTTAAACACTTTTTAAGATCATTATTGGTGGAGTTATCGCATCAAGCTCCTTCGAATCCGAGCTCCAAACTCAAATGACCACAGAAGAAGGCCTCCTCGACTTCGATACCACCACTTTCACCCAAGTCAACGGCAAAGAGTACTTCAATGCTGTTAAGATGCACAATCTTCTGATCGCCCGTGAAAATGCATTTGACGATTACGAGCACACACAACTGACCGAAATCGCCGGCAAATTTTCTGTTGCCTGTAAGATAGACTATTTGTCTCAGATAACTAATTCATTATTTTAGCAAATCTTTTGACTCCCGTCACATCGCTCCAGATCAGCAAACCCGGCCGAGATCGACGATCGTCAGACTCTGGAATCAAAGAGCTAAAATTCAAGTTCCGACAGCTTCGTCGACCAACCAAGAATCACGTGATTGTTCCAACTGCTTCGCTCCAAGAAGAGAAATCGCTTGTTACGTTGTCCGATAACATGGTGGTGGTCAAGGGACAAAAGACTGATTTCTGCTTCGGACTTGAAAACGAGAAAGAGTTGGCGCTTCTCCGAGAGAAAGGACTGGCCCTCAAAGTTTCTGTCGAAGAAAAACTTCAGTCAGCAAAGATTATGATCGGAAATCAGACAATCTTTGAAGTTGATCGAAATGGCCCCGTTGGTTTCAATTTCGCTCCTGGAGATGAGTTCCAAATCGGAAACGGCCGGGGTTACGTTATGAAAGACCGAGTGGTTGTGCTTCTTGATGATGGGGTCAAATTTGAGCTGGTTTGGGGTCAAGAATTGACGATCAACCTGATCAACTCGAGCAATAACATGACTGGCATCATGAAAAGCTTGTTGAAAGTCGGTGAATCTGGAGAAGTTATTGGACAGATTTCTACAAACGAGCTTCCTATCAAACTCAATGTAAGATAAATATACATAATTTTCGATATCCAAACAATTATTAAGGGATTTTACACTGTTGGAAGCAACATCGAAGTATCTGGCAAAAATTGCCTGTACATTTCCGAGCTTGGAGAATTCCTCATCGATGCCGAGCAGTCAGAAGAATTCTAACTCCCTCAATTTTCCTAATTACTAATTTCCTTTCGTGACTCGTTTTTCACATAATTCCCGATATGCGATGCGATCACCCTAACACCCCAAATGCAGTCCCCCTTGAAAACATTCAACAATTTTAAATTTTAAATTTGTAAAGCTGTAAATTGGAATATTTGTAACATTATTCCTCTACTAACGAACGAAACCTACACTTGCCATTTTGTATATAAAAACGCTGCTTCAAACAAACAACCGCCAATTTTTCGACGACCGTCGCGTCCGCTGGTTAACTCAACAAAATTTTGAGATCTCCTGGACAAGATGAAGAAGCCCGCTTTTCCAAGATCCTACTAAAGGGAGGCCTTTTTGCGCGGTTGGGCGACCTTTTCCCCCTCGCACCACAACGCCACCAGTCGGTGTCGAGCGAAAAAAGCAACAACCAGCCCATTTAATTATTTTTCACGTCTCTACTATTTTAAACACAAACAACAAAAGTTGAATTCCACGATAGCCGAAAAACATATTTATATATATTTTTTATCACCCGGAGATATCGCGAAGACAAAACTATGAACAAGAGCGTTTAGAGGATACCTCACAAATGTTCTTTCAACCAGATAAATTTAAACAACCAATTATTCAAAAAGATACTTGTTAAAACTTTCTCCCGCTGAAATCAACGAAGATGATTCTTTTCTTTTTCCTTTTTTCTCTGTCTCAATTTGCGATGGCCACCGTTTCCAGATGGGACATCTCAGATTGCCCTTTCCAACGTAAGCTGAATTCGCTTTTTTTTGGTTTATCACGAATTTCTAGCGATAATAGCAGAAACCACGCGATCCAAGCAAGTCGTTTCTCGATCCTGGCCATCAGGATTCGGGACTGTTTGGGCCTGCGACTATTCAATCATAAGTCCTGATAATACGAAGAAGATTCTCATCGAGTTTCAGGAAATTCTGCTTATTGGAAAACAAAATCCAGAGGGTAAATTACCTTTCAAAAGGAATTTGTTCAAAGCGAAAATTTTCAGAGGGCGAGGGTGATCCAGAGTGCACCTATCATCGTCTCAACATCATCGACGAAAAAACCAAGCGGGACACTGGTTACTACTGCGGAACAGATACACCTCCATCATTTTTATCCGACAGCAACAAGATCATCGTCCGTTTCAATTCCACCGACACTCCAGTTGGCTTCTACTCGAAGGGTTATGCTTTCACCTTCAAAGCAGTCGCAGACACGTACACTCTCAAGCCGAAAATCGACCCAACTCAGCTTCAGCAGCAAAATATGGCAATGCTCTATCCTGAGATATTTGGATACGGTTCTCAACAAAGATTTCCGATTCAAAACATTCAGGCTCAACCAGCTCAAGTTATCCCTCAATACGGTCAAATAGCTCAACCTGGTCTTATTGCTCAACAACCTCAATTTGGAATGGGTAGAAATCCTGACGTGGAGTACCTCGATCCTCCACCCCAGTACGACAATCCCTTCGCCATCAATGATTATGAATACGACTATGGCCAGCGAGAATATGGAGGATATGTTGTTTCTAGCCGTGGTGTTGTGCCTAAGCAGCAAGAAGTTCAACGAAAACGACGGCCAAAGAGAATTCAATCGGTTCTTATTCAAATTTTTATTTCAAGATTCCAAGCTGAAGAACCGAAGTTAACGTTATTTTTAGAGACCTCTAGGAACACCCGAACCACCCGCAGGAATGGGTTCCTTCCTTTTTGGCGGTTCCGAAAACGTTCTCGACGCCGAGCCAGAGCAAAAAGCCTGGCTGCCCTTTGGCGGTCGGGAGGAGCCTGAATGGACCGGTGATGATGACAAATCGACTGACTTGGGTTTCAAAGAGATGTGGTCGGCGAATGCGGTTAGGAGACCAAGTTTTATGACTCTTGGCATTTCCGATGGAGAGCAGCCCTACGTTGACCCTAAAGGTTTAGAATCAACCGAGCGCTTATTGATTTTTATGATTCCTCATAAAAGTTATAACATTATATCAATATTATTCTATTTTCAGTTGAGCAAATCTTTCGAGCCGAGCTTGGCGAGGTCAACGATGCCTCCAACACTGTAGCGGTCAAAAAATTCCTTGGCGAAGATCTCTTTGATGCATATTCCGGCCTTGTCGATCTCCTCGGCGTTGCTGCTGCAGATCCGATGAAGATTGTCCTCATTATTGGCCTGATCGCTGGAGTTATTATTCTTATCTGCTGCGGCTGCACCGTCCATTGTTGTCTTCGATGCCGCTCAAGAAAGATCGACAACGAAGCAGCCTTAGCACTGGAGAATCTCAAACGATCGAAACAACAGGCAGCGCAGCTCAGAGCTCAAAAGTCTCAAAACTTCGAAACGCTAACTCACATCTCTTGCCAAAGCCGCTGTAACTCGATGAAAACCTACGAGTTGCCTGACTACGATGATGATCCACCATCATACTGTCCCGATCCAAATCAACGAACTGTCCCGATCCGAGCTTCTGGAGAAGCCCGTGAAATTTTAGCGAAGACTATTTCTTCGGAATCAAGGAAGAGTCACTTACCTGTTTTCAAAAATGAAGCTTCGCCAGTTTTGACAAAGACGAAATTTATTTCGACCGAGTCAAACAAACGTCCTGCTCCACCAGTGCCACTAGGTAACCATTGTTAAAAACTATATATTTTCTGGAGCTTCAGTAGATTTTTTGAGGAATTAATCAATGCGGTTTGACCTTTTGTCATGTAACTTCTATTATTTTGACTAACCGCGATCCTGTTTAGAACCAGCACAGGTGGATACGTCAGTCAAGCCCGAGGACACGACCACGATCGGTGCAGACCACACAATCTCCGTCGTCACTCTGTCCGAAATCAACTCCGAAAGTTTGAAAAGCTCGAGTCCAGAAAACTCGGAAGCGGATGACACGGTGAAATCCATGAGTGAAGCAACAATAACCAACGTTTCAAAATTGCGAGAAAAGATCGTCTCGGCCGGCGCGAGCATGTCGACCATTGTCACGCAGAAGTCGCTGAAGATTGTGGACGAAATTGAAAAATTAGAAAAGCAACGAAAAGTGGACAAGAAAGATCAGTCCGTCGTCAACAGAATAGATCAGCTTCAGAAAGAGCTGTTGACATTCATGGAGTAATTTACTGTACAAAAGTATCTACAATAGTCGAAATTCAAAAAAGCCTGTACAAAGTTCCAACCCGTTTTTGAGATCTCTTGAATTTTCCGTCATTATCTTTGGTTTTTTCCTTTCAAATAATACTTGTAAAAATAATTCAAAAAAATTAACATCAATTAATTTATAATTTATAGAACAATAGAATAGACAAAATTCAAGAGAATTCTCGAATACTTAACTGCATGAATAAATACAATTCATCAATCACATTTAATTGTAACTTTTATGTTATTGAAAAGGCTCAGAGTACGACCGTGTTTTGTGAGGGCAAGTTATGACTCAGAAAGCAGATTTACCATTTAGCTCATCGTTCCTAATCCGTGTTTTCCAAGAGTACACAGACGCGGTAGAGATGAGTATCCTCGGGAATTGGACTGCAGTAATCTTATGTCTAATCGAGACATTTTTTCTCAACGGATTGTATCATGGCTGGGGCATATTTACGAATATTATGCGCAAAGAAAATTTATTTGTTGATTATTGCAATGCTAACGATTGCTCGAAAAGAGACGAGGTAATGGAAAATGTCAAGATTGTCGTTAAAAGATATAGTTATTCAACGAGTTGTATACAATCACAACGATCGCAGTCAGTAGCTCCAGCCTTCTTTCTGGGGCAATGATCACTAAATGGGGCCACTTCTCGTGTTCCCTTATTTCTTTGTTTCTCACCACAATTGGCTTTCTCTTCCTTGCACTGATCAATATCAACCAAACCTTTCTCTTCCCTGGATACCTTCTCATCAGCACTGCTGGTTTTCTTAGCCACTTGATGAACGTTCAAATTCCACGAGCGATTCCGAAATGGACAGTAATTCTGATGACGACATTTGCTGGACTATATTCTGCATCTTCAAGTTCCTTTCTTGCCATTCAATACTTTCATGATCTTGGCTACTCCCTAAATACAATTTTCTCATTTCTCGGAGCGCTGACGATTCTACTCAAAGTTCCAAGAATCATTTTTCTGACCCCACATCATCTGCCACAAAAAGTAGAGTCTGAGTACTCACTGTATAAACGCAGAGCCCTCTGTAACCAACAAGAAGTTAGAGGAGACGATCAAATTGAACGAACTACTGATGCTTCTTTGAAAGCGATTCTTCGCGAACCAATGATTTATTTCATCTGCATCGGATATTCAGCCTTCAGTCTGAGGAGCCTCACGTTCGCCGGTAAGCTATTCCTTCAAATTCATAAGAATTACACAAATTTGAAGCTTGGATGGGCTCGAGCTGGCCCACCTGGATCGGAGGCGAGCATTTCCAAATCGCGCTCAATAATTTCAAAGAATATGCAAATCTAATCATGCTTGGACTCTCTTTTATTCCCGGTTTTACGATCACTTTTCTCGACCGAAAATTGTCTGTTGGTGAAAATGAATTCGGAAAAGCGATCGGAATTGGTATTTTCTACGGCTTCTGCGGGGCGCTTTTTGTAGCGTCTGGAATTTTAGGCAGCTTTCAAGGAGAAATCTTCGGGTACTTCTCGGTTATCACGGCTTTATTAGGGCGAGCATTTGGATCTCTTTGGCCGCCACTTCTACTCCTTGTTTATGAACCAAAAGTAGACCCCCCTTTTGTCCTCAATTTTAATTTCTTTTAGTATTTTTCACTTGCCTTTGGAACGATGCTGATATCCTCCGTATTTGCCAAAGCTGCTAACTTACTACTGTATAAACTGGTTCTTGCGACTGACAGTTTTCACAAACCATCGATGATTGTTGGACTTTTATCAGTTTGGGTCTTTATCTTTGCTAAAATATCATTCGGAAAAGCGGTACAAATCCAAAAAGCACCAGTTCGAAGAACTGAATCTGCCGAAACTGATTCTGACACTGAAAGTCTCTTATCTGCTTAAAATATAATATATCAACATTCCAAGAAAGAATAAGTCTTCATAAGGTAGTATTTTGTTTCTACAAAATACTGACAGCATATTTTTAATGAAGAAATAGACATTTATATTTTCAAGGAAAAGTAATGAATCAGAACGGACGTGAACACTGAAGACGATTAACTTTAATAATGTTAATTGAAGATAGTAATTGAAGATATTGGTAAAAGGAGAATGTTTTCAGTCGAAGAGAGCGCTAATCTCAAGGAGGGATTCTGCGAGTGTTTCGCAGAATTGTTGCGAATCGAGATTTTGTTGTTTCGATGAAGAAACAGAGAAGACCAGTCGATCGTCGCCGATTATGTAACTAGAATTTCCGGTAAAGACTCCTGTCTAATAAAACTGCTTCTTACCCGATTCCGAAGCCATTGGTCCAGCCAAAACCGGTAAAGACCGTTTCCAAATGAGGATACTTTTTCGGGTTGTAAAGTTCTCCAAGAGCAACTGGAGCGCAGCTTCAATTTTGTTCAACAAAGATATTTCAAGAAGCATTTTACCTGGTAGAAAGCTCCCAGCCGCTGACATTTTCCCATTTCGCGTTTCTGTATTTGTTCAAAAACTCATGTTCCATGTTCAACCCACGAGAGGCAACGCAAAGGGCAAATAAGTGACGATCAACAGCTTCTCCGACCATTGCGTGCTTTGTCAATTCTCCGTGAGTCGTAACTGCCGCTTTCAAGGCGTTTCGTCGCTTTTCTGAAGAATTTTCTTACTTAAAAGAACCAAACAAATTAATCGACTTACGATTGTCTGATTTTTTGTTGAGCATTTCTTTCACAAAAGTAGCTGAGGCAGTAGTACAACTTCTGATTGTTTCCGTCCGACCATCCTAGAAAGCAATTTTTGAAGAAAAATTCATGGCTGAGTAAACTTTCTACCTTGAAAATGCGAGCAAGGGCAGCCTCGTACGTCATGGAGAATTTGTTTCTAATCTTGAAATTGGTGAGTTGGTAGGCCAATTGGCAAATTGCATCGGGCGAGAGGCGCCACTTCTTGATCTCGATCTTGCCGAATTTGGTAAAGGTGAGTTGCGATAACGAAAGATTGTTGATTTCTTTCTCGACGGTTGGCAGTTCTATTATTTCAGGTTTATCTATCGACTCCTTGAAGAAAATTTACCTTTTGATATTTGCGCGAGAGGTTCTTCAAGCGAGTTCCATTTGAGAATTTCCAATTCTGGGGTGATTTCTTTCTCTTTGCTGAGAATCATTCCTGTATCAGGCGCGTATTCGATCAGCAAGTGTTCCAAAACCTGGACTTCTTCCGTAATGTGAAGAATGACAGCTCCATCGGCCCATGTGTGCTCGACATTTTGTCCGATATGGCCATTCGAAGCGGCAATGATGGAAAAACACTTGTCAAACCAGATATTTTGTCCAGATCCGTGGAGGCATCTCCTGGCAAACTCGACCATTGAAGCGGGCTTGGAAACATTTGCCGGCGAATCGTCAAGCCAAACATGAAACAAAGCCGATTCAATTTTCTGCAAGGAATATTCATTCTGCGCATCGGAATTGATCGCTTCTCTGATCGATGCCCACTTGTCACGAGAAAGCGCAGTTCCAGCGGCGAGATATTCGATTTTTTCCGCTTCCGTCGGTTCTGATTTCCGGATCGCGTCGAAGGTCGATTCTAGCTGCTTCGGGGTGAGAAGGTGTTCACCGTTTTTATCCACCACTTCGATGCTGTAAACGGCGTTTTTGGAAAATGCGACGATGTGACTGCTCTGTTCGTGGAGCACTAGGGCGTCTTTGTCTTTTCCAGGGGTGCGATTGGTGCCGAAAGCGCGTTTGTACTGCATCGGGCAGAGAGGGACGAGCTTTTGAAGCTTGATTGGTGGCACTTTTCCGTCGATGACAGCGTCTTTTCTCCACTTTAACAGGGACCAGACATCTGGGGTCGGCAACTCGACAACTCAAAAACTCGACAGTCGAGTTGTCGAGTCGAGTCGAGTTGAGTTTTTGATAACTCGACTCGACTCGACAGTCAATTTGAGTGTCGAGTTATGTCGAGTTGTCGAGTTGTGTCGAGTTTTTGTCGAGTTTTGTCGAGTTTTCATAACTTAGGCTGAAATCTTTCGCGATGAATTAGTGACATTGACGGTCAAAAATGCCGAAGTCATCGTCTCTTTCAAAAATTTTCCGAGGTAGACCACCTTTGAAAGCCGGTCGAGGCAAAATTTTGGATCATGTATATCATGATCATGAATATCATTACATTTTCAAAACTCGACACAACTCGACTCGACTCGACACTCGCTGAAGAAAAATGAACTCGACTCGACTCGACTCGACACGAGATTTGAGTGTCGAGTTGCCGACCCCAGCCAGACATAACCAGCAATGCGGGAGGTGCTTCGGAAGGAAGGAATTCGTTCTTGCCCGAGCCCAAAGTAGTTCGAGTTGATCATCAATGAATCTCGTGAGGAAAGGTAAACGTATTCTTCCCACCAGTCAGTTACGTAATTCGTCGACAGCCAGGATTTCTTGGTGAGGGCAGAGTTCAGCGCTGGACCGACCCCGGTTAAAAAATCGTCAGAGAGTCGCTTCAATTCGGCGAATTCTTTGTCCGTGATGAGCGGCTTCATCGATTGAAGATATCTTCGGACGGTGTTTTCCAACTCGGGGACATGCAGATGCGGGCAGAATTGATAGAAATAGCTAAAGCCTCGTTTTCCAGCAGTGAGCAGTCTCAGCGAGACCGCCCAGACTCGCGTGAACAGAGTCGTATTTCCGCGACCTTCGAAAATCCAGCCCTAAGCTCTTTCATAAGAGGACAACTTTAAACTTGATCTAACCTTGTAGGTCAAAGTCCATCGGAGCAAAAGATTGTAACAGAGCGAGTACGAAAGCCAGAGCAGCAAAACGGAAATGGAGAACTCGATTGATTCACCAAATGATTCAGGAGAAATATATTCGGAAATGTAAAACAACACATTTTTCTCAACCAACTAAAATTTCAAATTTTGAAGACAAAGAAGAGTAATTCCGCTTCGTACCTCGAATGAAGCGGGCTTCTTGTCGAACACCTTGATGATGTAAGCAGTGATGGTGGACAAAATGACGAGAACAGAAGGAGTTCTGGAGATTGAAACGCGCAGCGCTTCCAAATCCAGAACGGGATTCTTCGTCCCAACGTCCATTTTTCGATTCTCTGAAAAACGCAAATCTGAATGATCTGGGTCCAAAAAGTCAAAAACAGGAAACAAAGAATAGAATAGGAGCAGCTCAGAATGATTGGGCAAGAGAAAATAATAGAGTTGGGTGGTCGCCAAAAATCGTCATAAAAATAAACTTGCGTGCAAGCATGATCCTAGACACGAAGAGTAAACAGCTGACTCACAAGGCAAAATGAAAGAGATTGACCCTGACCACAACTGGTCATTCCTGATTCTCTCATACTTGGGCTCAAAAGCCTGTATAGAAACCTGAGGGCCCCGGAAGACCTTCAATAAAACTCTAATTTGCGGCTTTTTTTAATCTCAACTCAGCTTTTTATTGAAACTCTATCAGAACCCTGACTCAGGTATCCACACAAGTTGCTGACTCAGTCTTAGAAACAGTAGAGTATTCTTTTTCAACCTATCTCTTTCAAATCGAACACGGTTTCTCCTACACAAGCGCCCTTGTCGATCAATTTTCGTTGATGATTCATGCCTTCAATTTTAAAATGGAACGAGCCTCGTTCATGATTAAATATTCAAAAAGAAAGAACTCAAGATGAAGAACTTGGACTGACCTTTTTGTTTGTCTTTTATTAGTGATGTTCTTTTTCAGTGAAACGGACAAATCTTATCAATAATAATTGTCTCCTGGGTCGCAATTTTGAATTTTTCTACTGTAACTTTTTGGAAACTGGCGAAGTGATAAATATGAAAATTGCGGATGAGTGTGTTTACATGTAACTTTCGACAATTTTGAATTGTCTTTTTTCGTGAAGCAAAGAGGGTGCTTGTTTTTTCTGGAACTTCAGGTGGTGAACTGATCAGTGATCGGGTAATTTTTCGAAGCCTCTGAAAACGGATTCGACGGAGACTTCGTCTGATTCTTGAGGGATGGTGAAGGCGGCGAAGAACTTGAACGATGCGGGAAATTCATGCAGCGTCACAGATTTCATCGTGAACATGCACTCGGCTTTGATCGATTTGTCCTCTTCTCTATAAGTTAAAAAATAAGTAAAAAAACTGGCGACAAAAATTCCAGCGACAATATTTTTCTTACATGTCGAAACTAAGAAGAGAAGCGCCAATCGTTTTCAAATTCTTCCACTCTTCCAGCGGGAAATTCTCAATAATGTCTCTGAGAGACTCTTTGAATATCTTCTGGCCCATCATAAACGACAGTTTGTCTTGGACTTCTTTGAGACAGGCGAGGCGGGATTCGTTGAAGAGGCCTAGAAAGTCGGCATCGATGCAGCGGACATTTTCCGCAGCCAGATCGATGATATTCAGTCGCCTCGATTCCATTAAATCGTTGAAGATGACGCAGATGTTTTCTTATAAGCAGAAAGTTTAATGATTTGATAAACGAAAGATTTTTTACCTTTTAGAAAAGTGCCATTCAGAAGACCGGCCAAGTGTTGGTAGCCGTAACTAATGTTTTGTTTTAAACAAGTGCTTGCCCGTCAAAACAGGGAGATCCTCTTTGAGGAAAAAGAGACTGACCTGAGCGAGTCTTGATGAATACAGTAAACTTGTTTTTGCATTTCTATGAAGCCACTTGACAAATCTAGCACCAGTAGCTGATCGGTGTGAGGGTCGAAGGCAATGTACCAATCTGGGCTTTCTGTTAGCTCGCAGGTTTCGACGTGCGTCCTACATAAACAAGCGTGAGCAACTTTGCAAGCGATTTCAATCTATTAAAATAGATCAATTATAAGCTGCTTATAATTGAGAATAAGTCGTTTTATATACCTTTCGGAAGTGTACCTATTGAAGAGATAACGTAGATTTTGAGCGTAGAGGGCGATTCTATCTTGCTTTATCAGTTTTGACAGTGTGTTGGCCTGAAAAAAAAAACACTAGAATGGGAGGGGCGAAAATGTTTAGCAACATACCTTGAGCAACATGGCCAGATTCGAAGGTTGTCTTCGTTCGCGCAGGCAGTATCTGAAAAAGGTGTAGACCGAGTGGTAGGTCTGTTCGTTGATCCACATGAACGCCCTAAAGAGCGACCAGTTGTCATTGTCGTAGCTTCTGGCGAGGCGTCTTCCTTCGGCTTCGGCGCCGAAAAGACGCATCGACACTTTTTCGACTTCTTTTACGGCGTACTGAAGCTCTTTTTAGAAACGATGAGGGATTGATTGTAAACCTGTTCGAGTTGCTCGCCATGTTCGATGCGAAAGTGGGTGTTTGTGTTATAGACAGCGAATTTGTCGGCAGTGTTTAGATGAGGCAGGATCTTGTTCCAGGCTTTTTTGTAGCGTCTGTCCAGAAGTTGGTTCGACTTCAATCGCGGCGAGGTCCAAATCGCTGGAACTGGAGTGCGCAACTTTAGCAGGGGTGTATTTGCCGTATTTGCGCGCTACAATGGTTTTTAACACCAACTTCTCTAAGGCCGTACCTTTGCAGAAGGGCCATTTGATCTGGAGAAGCTCTCTGGTCGTTTCCATCTGTTCGTTTGGCTGATTGAGTCTCGATCACTTTCGTGTCCATTTGAGTTGTATCGAGCGATGTTTCCATTTCCGTCACCGTCTTCTCCGATTCCTTTTCACGGATTTTTATGCTTTTCCAAAATTATTACTTAGAAATTTATCGAAAAAGGGGGTCATCAATAAGCAAAGTTATTTATTTCACAGTGGCTAATAAACAATAAAAATCCGTCCCGTTGGAAATCAATTCTTCCTCCTCGTCTGACATTTCGCCCCTCTTTCTTGAGCCTTTTGACTGCAAGCCAGCTTCTGTCTGCCAGACGATACGACTGTTTCTTCTCTCTATTCTCTAGGAAGAAAAGTGCTTTCGGAAGAGTTCCCCTTCGCCGCAATAAAACAGAATAAAGAAAGAACAAACTATCGCGTGGGCGGACGCTGGGAAAAAAAACGACGCGCCATTCTGAAAATTAAAAAAATGAAGATGAAGATTTATCCACTAAAATTATTGTTTTGGTAATGAGAAGATTCTTTCGATAGAAGAAGATTTTCTTAAAAAACCTTTTTATAAAATGTATTTTCTCAACCAATTATAATAGATTTTAGCGCGTTGAAGAGTTATTATAGCAATACAAATAATTTACCTGATATTATAATACTGATGATTGTTAATTATAACCTGTTAGATGCATACAAATATAAAATGTTGCTTTTACATCTCAAATAACGTCGTTATAATTAAATTGTTATTGATGAAAGTAAATAAATGATCTGTAAACTGACTTCTTGTATCTTGTTTCATGTGACTGTACTTGACTTTTGGCTTGCCTGTAGTGTAATTTCAGTCTAGCGGAAAGAAGCGTGAGAAGGGGGTTGAAATTTTTTGAAGCCGGTCCAGATGGGGCTTCATGCATCGCAGAAAATTGAGCCGCTCAGCAATCGCAACCGATCGATCGGAAGATCACTTTTAGAACTTTTAGAGCGAGCTACTTCTTCTTCCCAGAACTGTCCTCATGATAAATAAGGGCCCGAATAACCTTTTCGTACCGTACTCAAGCCCAAATCATAAAGTCAGCCCTTGGCATTTGAATAGGGCAATTCCTGATCCACCAACTTGATGACCAAGTTGAAGTTCGAAATCTGCCATTTCAACTCTTTCGCCGTGAAAAAGGTCCCTAACCCTTCGACTTGGATTTTATCTCTCCTTCCCGTGGCAAATCTCCAACCTAAAGGGTGCGAAAAATTCAAACGATGCCCTGGAAGCGGGCCAAGACAGCCATAAATTCATCAGCGCAGGGTACCGCGGACAATAATCTCAGCGGGGGATCAGATTGTTCTTTTCCTAAGTGTAGCACCTTTTTGCTGATAAGGATCGTCTGTAAGAAAGACTGTTTGATCAGTTGATATATTTCAGACAAAATTTATTCAGCAATCTGTGTAGGAATCCTGAATCAGGCCCTCAAATGAACGCTTCAATGAAAAGCCGCGTAGCGGCTTTTTTTAATGTAGCCGCAGAGCAGATTCGCCGGAGTTCAAGAATAGCGATTATTCATTATGAAAACTTTCGTTACTTTTGCAAACTTGCTTATTCAATTATTTTGGTAATCCAAAAAATGCCGTTGATGGAATGTTTCCGCTGAGAGTGGTTCGTTTCTCCGCGTTAAAAATTGAAAAGTGGGCATTTGCGCTGCTTTCAAATGTGGCGCGCGTCGCTGATTCGTCCGCGCGCGCCACCGTTCGCGGCTTGAGCAACGGCCCGGCCCAGGACGAGCTGCCCGGCCTGATTTGAACTGAACAGACAAAAAAATAACACGAGCAACGAAGCAACCCAAAAAAGAGCGCGAAGAGAGATTGTAGTTTTTTGTCTCCTCGGCTAAAACTACTGTCGTAGAGATCTCTTTCGCTTGTTTCTTACTGTAATCAGAGAAAACACTACAGTAGAAGACAAGCAATCAAAAAATGTCGCAGACGTCAATTGGAAGTAGCCAAAGCAGCCAGCAGAGTAGCCAAGATGTTGCCCCGTTCCAGGTAAGCTTATCTTTTGCGTCTCTCTTTGGGCTCTTTTGCGGTTTATTTGCTTAGCGCTAGAATTGAACTGTGTAAACCCTGAGTCAGGGCTCCTACTGAGTTTCAATCAAAAAATTCAATTAAAGTTTTTGTTGGCCTGACTCAGGTTTTCTGCACAGGTTACCGAGACAAGTCTTAAAGACCGATGAATTCATTCCTCTTGTCTCTAGAATAATTATTTTCAAGTTGGATAAACCGATCGATTCTTTAGTTCAATTTCGCATATTTTACCCCCATTTACCAACTCATTTATTAACCCCTTTTTGCAGCAGAAAACGATGGAGACGAACAAGCCACGAACCGTCCTGGGCGTCAGAAACAATGTAAGTTTGCCAAGCTCAAACAGAAAATTTCATCAAATCTGATTCAGGGCGTCGTCAGCGCGGCCGTGAAAAAAGTTGCCGAAGCAGTTACGACTTCCCAATCGCAGCCGAAAAAGATCAGAAAAAAGGTATGAAAAAGAGGAAAGGGCGTAGTTTTATGAGCTTTTCAGCGCGCCAGTCCAACTGATGATACCTCTATTCATTCGCTGGCGATTGATTACAAAAAGAAACCGTACCACGAAGACCCCTTTTCGGCGAAGATCAGCGGAGAGAGAAAACTTCTAGAGCCGACGGCGATCGACATCGATCAAGATAAAGGTAGGGGATGATCAATTATTGCAAAGTTTCACTTTTTTCTTCATAAAAGCGCGTTTCCATGAAGTCTTATTTCAACTTTTAGATCCAAACGAGTACTCCGAATATGCCATGGCTAGCTTTGAATACTTTCGAGCTCGAGAACACGCGCAAATGGTGCAAAACTACATGTCCGGTCAGCCTGAGCTCTCGGAAAAAATGCGCCAAATTCTCGTCGACTGGCAGGTCGAGGTCAGTCTCTTTATCCAACCGTGACCTTTTTGATTTGCCTATTTAGATGCAAGAAAGTTTCCAGCTCACGCATGAGTCGCTCTACCTGTCCGTGCTCTTTATTGACCTCTATCTCTCAAAGAAGAGCGTCAAGAGAGAAAACATGCAGCTGCTTGGCGCGTGCGCGATCCTCCTCGCTTCCAAATTCTACGTAAGAAATTCTCCTCCATGATTTCAATTGACCAAATCGTTTCAGGATCGAATGCCTCCATACGTCGACGACTTGGTATTCGTCTGCGACGAAGCCTACACCCGAGAAGAAATCCTCAAGTTCGAAGTCGAGCTCATGACTGTCCTTGAGTTCGACATCAACTTGCCCGTTTCCTACCTCTGTCTCCGACGATACGGCAAGGTGGTTGGATTCAACATGAAGCAGGTAACTAATCAACTCTTTCGACCAAATCTAATCATCCGATTTTCTAGCTAACCCTCGCTCGATATGTTCTGGAACTGACTCTGATGGAGTACCAGTTTGCCAGAGAGAGTGCATCCAAGATGGCTTCTGCAGCGCTCCTCTGGACCCTCCTTCACTTCGGCAAATCCTGGGTAAGATCTTTTCAGTACTCTCATTTCCTAAACCTTCCCTCCTTAGAACGACTCCCTCGTGTACCACACGAGCTACAAGCGAGAAGAACTCCTCCCTCTGGTCTTCAAGCTGAACGAGATGGTCGCGAAGGCGCCTAAGAAGAAACTCAAGACCATTTATGACAAGTACAGCCACGAGAACTTCTTCAAGGTAAGAATCAACCTATTTCTTCATCGATATTAAACGATTTTCTTCAGGTGACCGAGAGCGTGTCGAAGCTTACCGATGCAAGAATCAACGGCACCGAGCAGATCCAAACGGCGGTTGATGGAATGGCGGCAGAGTCGATGGAGGTCTCGTTTTCCCAGCCAATGTGATTGCGAAAATGACGATCTTCCTCGTGTACATACCAATATCGAGTACTCCAACGAAACCAGCAAAGTGATATTTAAAAAACACCACTCCAACTTACGAAAGATCATCCGACGGCTGCCACACTGTTTGAAATGTCTGAATCTTGCGATTTCTATATTTTTCTTTCTTTTGTTCCGTACCTCGCCCAGTTTATCCATTTCTCTCTGTATATAAGTACGAAATGACCATTACTTACTTTTAAGTATTTCGTTTTCAACTCTGCGAATTGCGAAAACCCCAAAAAACGAATTCCTATTCCACATTCCAAAATTTTAAGTTTTGTTTCGACTGTTGGTGAGCGCTTCTTGCCACAGTTAAAATCTGAAAAATATAAATGTTGACAACAATAAACTATCTCAAAAAACATAATCCAAAATTTCTTCTCTTCTATTAATAAAATGGTGTCTAAACTGTTGATAAACATGCGATGGTTCTTCCTAAATTGTCGTACACAAGCATACTGCAAAATACTAGAATATTAGCTGAAATATGATGAATTTTCGCTAGAATGAAAGCTCCGGGTCTGGAAGAAGACATAGGCTACAATCCGATCGTCTCAAGCATCAAGACAGAATCTGGCCTGTCTCGTGAGAGTGGAACATTCTCCGAGTACAGTCTCCAAGGATCGGTTAAAGATGAATTCGTTGAAGATGTAAAAAATCGACTGAGAGGACTTTGTGACAATGTCGAAGCTGAACCCTTTCTTGGTAAGAACAAGGCAAGAGTGCGGAATAACTTTTTTTGTAGATCACGAAATAACTTACAAGCTGGAAAATTCAACTGGGGGTTCGGCCACTCTTCGTGTTTCTCGCTCCATGGCACAGAGCAAAATGCCCTGGCAACTGAAATATGTCGGTGCGGTGGAGGTAAGAATTGCATTTTAGTAGTGATTGAAGAACTCAATTCGAGAGAAAGAATCGAGAAGCCGTGGCTATACTTATACTTTCCAAAAGCCGCAAGCGGCTATAAGAATACAGAAGAATTCACACCAATTTTAGTCGGCAACCAAGTCTTGTCTGATGCGAAACCAAGTGACCGTCGGATGCTCCGAAAACGTCACTTCTTTCTTGACCGAACTGGGCTTCCGAGCCGAGACAGAATTTCTCAACAAGGGCTATCTCTACCGAAAAGGGCGAGTGAAGATCACTCTCTCAAAGCTGAACAAAATGAAGGAGCCAGGACAATCGGCAGAAGCAAATCGAATTCCATTGACAAAGAGTCATTTTGTCGAGGTCTCTGTTACTGTGCTCACTGGAACTGAAGATCCAGGAAAGCTTTCGACTTGAAATTTCGCTAAAAAATGAAGAACGAAAGTAAAGCCTAAAAAAGTACACGAACTGAAGCACTTCGCCGAGATGTTGAAGCCGCAAGTGAAGTTGGTCAAATCGGACCACCGAAACATCTCAAATCATAGAACAAGTTACTGAACCTTTTAGCTGTAAACTTGCCAACTGCCCGAAAGTTCGAAAATGTAATTGCATTTCTATACTTCAATTATCAATTTTAATAAAAACACTCATTGTTGATTGTATTCATCCTCGTTTCTTCTTCAATTTCCGCTGCATTTTTATTTGATAAAATCTTCGTATTTTCAATATTGGCCATAATCCAAAAATATTCTTACTTTTTAATTTATTTAGTTAATAGTATCTACTTTCATTTTTTATAAAAAAAAAAGCTGCAGAGCGGCTTTTATAAACGAAGTCGCGTAGCGGCTTCGCCAAACTCCCAAATAATGAGCTTCAAGGGAAAAGTAATTGAAATGATACCCTAAAACATCGCGAAGCTTTGGATTAATAAAAAATATTCAACTTGTCAAAAATGAAGGTTTTGGAGTTGGCTGTGGCGTTGATAATATTTTCAAGTTGAGCGGCGATGGGTGGACAACGAGGCGGAAAAAGTCAACGAGCGCTTTTTCAATTTACTGAAGTAGTACTCCCTCTCTGGAGATTTGAGCTCTTCTGCCTTTAAATCTTCTTTGGAACTCATTTTTCATTCATTGTTGAGGAGTTTTTTGGTCAGAGAAAGAATTTGTTTCTTGTTTTGAAGATTTCTTTTTTCAAGGTCACCGTTTATGATGAAAATTGGGTTTTTTCTTTGGTTGAATAATTGCTTTTCAGTTGGAAAGCAGGAGTGATATTCATATTTGTTGTTGTGGCAGAGTGTGTGTAGTATATTATGTTTAATGCGTTTTGCATTATGCTGCGAGTAGATTTGCCTTGAGGGCTATCGATCTCCCCCCAGTTTCATATTTTACAACTACCGCGGCCAACTTTTGAAACTGACATCAACCGGACAAGTTATTTCAATTAACCCAAAATAGAGACTTTATCAACCACCCAACTTCCGTCTCCCAACGTTCACATCATGGATCCTTTTCTAGAGCTCTTGAAATTTTACGATTTTAGTTTTTTGTTTATTAGTACGAATTAGTAAAATGGCAGCATTTTTCGTAACACAACTCGTGTTAAAAACCTGAGTAAGGATCTGAAAGGGCGCAGCGGCTTTTTTAAAACGAAGCCGTCACGCGGTTTCCTCGGAATAAAAATTAGCTTCGCGGCTTTTTCAGGCCCTGACTCAGGTTTTCTTGAGCTTTAGTTGAAGGTAACGCTTTATGTTTTGATCATTTCCTCTTTCTTGATTTCAATAATTTTCCAATTAAAAAAATCCACTTGCGCCCCAAAAAGAGAAAAAACAACAAAGACACCTTTTATATTCTTTATTCTTCTTCATAAATTAAATTTTTTCGAACACGCTTTGTTTGAATCTCCCTTTGTATGCACCCCTCTTTTTGGAGCGCGAATTCAGAAAAACACAGAGAGAGACTTAAAACGAATTAGAGTGCCGCCAATTTGTACTCTTCACAATTCGACTTCTTCAAAATCAACAACGAAAAAGAGAGAAAAATTCAATGATGAAGATTTTACGCTCATTTTATTTATTGAGGGTTATTCGTGATGTCCATATTTATTCATTATATTTCGTAAAATTAAGGAAGGGAAGACCTTAACTCTTCGTTGATTTATTTTGTAATTATTCACGAAAAAGCCATCATAAAACTGCTTGGATCTGACGCAGTGGACTATAAAACTATATCTTTTAATTAATTCAACCATTATTCACCTTCTTTCAATTCCTATTTATGAATTTTTAGAGCGCGAGAGAATTATTTCAATTTTTAAAACGGTGCAATTGTTTTCAGAATTGAAAATCGGTTAAGATTCCGAGCGACGGACCCCACCTCATGAGAGGGGTAGCCACCCGGCGCAGTTTGGATTCAAACGCCCCTGAACGAAAGTCCGGCCGTGCAGCTTTCAAGGCAACGGTTTTAAAAAAGTCAAAGAGAAAATATGAGTTATTTTCAGAATTGAGAATCAGTAGCAGTTAAGAATCTTAAAAACAATCGCAGATTTCTTTTGAACCCCTTTTTTCTAAGACGAATTTAATAAAAAAAAACGACCAAAACCGGTCCGAAAACGACCAAGTCCGACCACTAAAATGGGTAGTCGAATCAAGCCTTAGCTCTACTGTTAAGAAAAAAGCACAAACAAGCAAGCTTTCCAACGCTTCAGTCCTTCAAATAAGATCTTTTTCTTTTATGAAACTTTTTTCGTGGCCGGAATTGAACTACCGTAGCGTGGGATAATAAAATTGCTTATTTGTACTTTCTCTTATCAGCAGATCGAGGAGTCAGAATTCTCAATTGAACTAGCAAACAGCAAATTCGAAAGAAAAAGAAATCAAATCTGCGCTTGTATTTGTAGTACTGTTGCTCATTTTCCGATTCTATTTGCTCATTTCATTCTGGCGCGTAAAACACGATTGACACGGGCGCGTTTAGATTGTTTTATTTTTTCGCCGCTCCATTTTCAGAAGTTGCGAGAAAAAGAGAGAGAGCAGCGGAAGTTGATTTTTTTAATCAAGTTTCTGAATCCTTTTTAAAACCAGAAGTAGTCAGCAAAGCTTATGTTCGAGAAGCAGCGCGCGCTGGAACGAGGAGACGAAGAATACGGAACAACGATTTATTCAGCCGCAACGCTCGGCAGGGAAGACAGAATCATGGAAGATGTGGCCGAAGAAACTGGGGCCAAGTCCATTAATGATCTTATAAAGGTTCGTGCTTTCTTTTTCTTTTTACTAATAATTAGTAATCTGTAATTATTACAGACTAGCTAACTTTGGAAACCTGAGTCAGGATTTCTACTCAGGTTGCCGAGCTTAGAAGAGTAACTTACTAGTCTCAGAAGCAAAGTTTAGCGAAATTCAGAAGTTGGAATTCCGAAAAGTTTTTATTCATTTCAATATTTCAGAATTTCGAGCAAATGTCGACCCCAGTCAGCCGTGGAAGAAATTTCGGCTCCGCGCGTGTTCACAGAAGCGCCTCACCTGTCAAATGGAAGACGCGAAGAAGTGCGCCAACTAAAACGAGCTATTCGCCGGACGAGGACAACAACTCGATTCCGACCATTCCCGTGAGTTACGAATTCTTTTAGCACATTTCCGCTTCTGCCTGCTTAGAGCAAACATGGCGCCTCGTGCAATCAAGAAACGATAACTCTTTAATGTTGACGCATTCCAGTGTCAGTCTCAATTTATGACCATCTTTGTTGATTTTCTTCGGCTAATAGATTTGGCGGGAAAAGCAAAATTTGCCTAGGTGATAACTCGTCTCTTTAAAACTCCTCTTTCAAGTCAGAATAACATTTATCCCCGTAATTAAACTGAAAACTGATTTTGACGTAGGCCGAGTTGCCCGGGCGTCGTAAACCGCCGCGTCCGAGCATCGAAGTGAACGAGCTGGACACAACCTTTTCCCGCGACGTTCCAGACTCGATCGGAGGCCACTCGCGCTCGCAGTCGTCATTGTCGGATGTTACTGCCGTGGAGAATGTTCCGGTCGCCACTTCGCAAATCAGAAGGACAGACATGAGTCGACTGCCAGATCCGAATCTACCTCACCATTTCATTTCTGGCCTTCCTACCGAAACAGACTTTCCTCCCACGCGCAAAAAGCTGACTTGGAGCGAAGTAAGTTCAATCTAGTTGGAGTCTCCGATTACCATAATCGAAAATTCAGGCTCACATTCTCGTTGGAGAAACCCACACGCCGGAAGACTACGAGCGTGGCAATCCCGATCTGGACCCAGTAGCCGAGTCCGCAGTCTATGAGCTCGAAAAGCGTCTGGACAAAATGGACCAGTTTAAAGTAGATTTGGAGAAAGACGACAACGGCTACGGCTTGAGCATCATCGGAATGGGCATTGGCGCTGATTCCGGCGTCGAGCGGCTCGGAATTTACGTCAAAAAAGTATTCCCCGGCCAGGCGGCTGAACGCGTCGGAATTCAAATGGCCGATCAAATTGTGGAAGTCGATGGGGTTTCCTTGGTCGGCGTTTCGCACAGCTTCGCTTCTGACGCGCTAAGAGGCACCAATCAAGTAAGCATGATTGCTAGTGATTTATTCCAAATTTTTAGAGTCAATTGTGATCAACTTTCGAAACTTCTCTTTCCTCACGGTTTTTTTTTCTAGCATGTGAGATTTCTGATGGCGCGAGATCGCGATCAGGAGTCGTCAGAAGTGCGCAATTTAATTTTGAGAACGCTGGAGCAAGAACAAGAGGCCCAGCTCGAGCAACAAAGTACAGACTCCGAGTCGGATCAAGAAGATCTCAACGGAACTTACGACGTGAACAGAGAAGATGACCCTAATCTCATGAGGGTGAGAACCTGAATTAGTGATAGTTTTTGACGATTTTTAAGGATGTACAAAGCAGACTTTTGGAAGAAATATCAAGCCTTCGCTCAGAAAATGACCATTTGCACGAAGAAAAGAACCAGATTCGCTCGGAACTAGACGCTGCCTTGAAAAGAATAAAAGATCTCGAAGATCAACTCGCACACGCTCGCTCCCTTGGCCAACCAAGGTATCCCAAGTTTTCTGTTTAACCCATCATCAACTACACCATCCATTTGCCATTCTCCGAATTTCGAGTCCATTTTTTATTCATCGATTTGTACTGTTTGTGTTCAAATTAGAAACCAGCTTCACCTGCCATTTCGTAGCCACTACTACACTACTTTTTAATTTTATTTTTTAAAGACGGATTGAACCCTTTCAGAAGCTGTTACTCGACGCTAGAATCAAACACGCTCGATGCGCTGGACGATTTGGAAGAATCGAGAGTCGACGATGTGAGTTTTTTCGAGCAAATTCGGCAGAGAATGCTTGCCGAAAGTAGCCAAACTTGATTTGTCAAAAATCAATGCGATTTTTGGTCCACTGTCAATAATAAAATAATTATCGTTCGTCGTTATTATATTTCAAGCAAATATAATAAGAAAATTACTTCTAGTGATTGAGGATAGGTACATTCATTGATTCTGCTAATGTAGATCTTGTTGTTTCATCAACAAGTAGCCGCTTGAGGCTTCGAGCAAACGAGAGAGAAAGGCCGCAGAAAGGGCGGTTTTACCTGAGTTTTCGCTCGAAGCCGCGAGCGGCTTCTCGACCAAAGGTGTAGGAAATCTTAGGATAAGGTTATTTATCATCCCTATTTTCCTCCGTCAAGAAGAGCCTCAACTGAAATATTTTGCTAGAGTCTCCTGGCGCTTTGGACGAACGAAGACGTTCTTGTGTGGCTGAACAACAATCATCTGGAGAGTTTGGTTCCACTTTTTAAAGTTCACAATATCGACGGAAAGTACCTCGACAAAATTAGGGAGAAGAACGACTCCAAGGTAGGAAGGAAAGTGATTTCAAAAATATCTCTTCGGTAGATGCTGAAGCAGCTCGGGATCCAAAAAGACCAACGCGCTCAGCTCCGCACGGCCCTGCGTCAACTCGCCTCCACCTGTTAACAATTTTCCCTTTTTCGAAAATTCTAAATTCAAAAAAATGAAGAGCCACTTCAGCAGCATTCCCACTTCCTCCGACACCAACTTGCTCAAAAAGAGCCTCCACATCTGAACTCGCAACTGAACACGGAATTTCTGTCTTCCAGAAAATAAATCTCAAAAAATATGAAAATAGAGCAATGGTTGCTCGTTCTGCCTTTGTTGTTCAACCCTACATGTTTCCCTCAATTCAACTTCCAATAAAGTGACCCCTTTTTCCCATTAAAACTTTCTGTTTTTCTAATTGAAATCAGGGTGGAACGCTGAGCTCGGCAACACAAGTCCAAAACCTGAGTCAGGATCTGTATAAAGGGAAAGTAATTTTAGGGAAGCCGCTAAGCGGCTTTTCCCTCGCGCTCTTTCAGCTCCTGACTCAGATTTTCTTTACAGGTTGCCGAGACTCGCTAGAATGAAAAAGGATCTATTGCAGGCAATTCGGAACAAACTAATCTTAGGAGCATTATTCATTTTGCAATTATAAATTTGCGCTACAGCCAAAGAAAGATTGCCCGATTAAATTCAAAACCCACCTGAGATAGTTTCAATTGATGGAGTAGAAAGGGCGGTATTGAAGTTTCCCGTCAAAGTAGATTAATATCTTTAATTTGGGCGCTTGTTCTTTATAAATTATCTGTCACGCGGGATGAACTTAGATCAGCATGAATTGTACGAGTGATCAGAGCAGGAATGAGTATTTTGGAGTTTGGCAAAACTGCTTCTTTTTATGGAGGAAAGTGGACGATTCCCTTTCGCCCGAAAAGGGCCAACTCCGTTCCCTTTTTCGAGAAAAAGCCAAAGCCAGAGAAGAAAAAGAGGAAGAATATTTTCAGAGCTTTATTAAAAGTAAGGCTTTTTCGTTTATTTATTTCTATTTTGAGCAGGATCCGTTCCAACCGATGATTTATCCGCCTCACCGAGAAGTTACTAACGATTTGTTCCTGACAGTAAAAGCAAAAAGCTTCAATCTGAACTTATCAAGAAAATCTTCCAAAAGAGCTGACAGGATCAGTAATAAGACAGTTGATAGAGGACTTGAGAAGGCAATCGGGGTAATAGGTTTGTCTTCCTTGATTTCATGTCCCGAAAGTAGAGTTTTAGGTTACAAAAGAGGTCGATCCTTTGGCTTGGAATCGGGAGCTGTTTCTGGCGTAGCGGGTTCTACTCTGCATTCTGGGTCGAAAGGGAAGCTGGCTTCAGACAAGGCTAGTGTAAGAAATGCGGCGCATTTGACTGCTGCCGCCGCAGAAGAAGAAGAGGACGAAGAAGGATCTGATTCTGACGGCGGAGGAGGTAGAACTAGGTCACTAGTGATAGGGATCAAATTTTAATTTATTCAGGAGCCGAAGCGACGCAAGAAGGAGACCTTTTTGTGGAGATGAATGCTGCTAATGAGTTTGAGGATGACGATGATGACGGCGGCGACGATGATGAGGACGAAGAAGCAATTGATGCGATGGTTGCTGAAATTGAAAATGACGTGGCAATGCTTGGAAATAATGAATTCGGGTTCAACTTTTATTACTGATTTTGAGCTAAACGCTTCTGTTGAATCTTGAAAAGACACGGATGTAGACAAAGGAGCCGAGGCAAATGAAGCGCAAGATGACCTAGGACAGATTTCAAGAAATAATGGACTATATTTTGCCTAAAAACTCGGTTTGAAATCATGTTCAAAGAGGAAGAAGCGAATGAAGGCGAAATGCTGGAGTTCAATCAAATGGATCGCCCGCACAAGGGAGATTCTGACAATGATGGGCCGTATTCGGACGAGTGTCAGATTCTCGACGCTGAATCGGATAATCACACCATTTCATCAAGCAGTCTTAGGTACATCCTTCCAACAACTTCCTGTTCCCGCAACATCATGATTTATTTAGGTCTTATGACGACTACTATTTCGACATTTACCGAGAATAAAATGAACTGTAATTAACACTTTATTACAAAAGATCAATTGAAGTCTTCAAAGTTGTCATTTTTCTCGTCCATTTCTGAAACAGCTTCGAGCGTTGAGAATCCGCTGACTCGACCAATGCTTGGCATGGGCGATTTCGTCCCGATCGAGGAAAAGTCTTCGCGTGAATTTTCGCTGATGGCGTCTACTTCTGCAATAATATTTGTTGCTTGACGAGTTTTAGCTTGTTCCCTTGTTGTGAATTAAAAGTTTTGATAAACTCGTTCCTGAACGCCTTGTTTTGTATTCATCAATATTCTTCTGCGTTCTGTTGCTAATTGTGAGCCCAACATCAGTCGGGGCAATCTTGAATGCTTGTTAGCCAAGAAAAATGATGCTACAGTCAAATTACGATTTGGGCATCTTCTTTTATCGCGCTCGCCCTTTCCGATTTCTGATTGATTCTGTGCCTCAGCTCATCTTTTTAGAAACAAATTAGGGTTATTAATCTTATACGCAACAAACCAAGTTCTTGTAGCAAATCTTCTTCTCGGTTTTTCTGCCGTTTATTGTACTCGTCCCATTTCTTTGTCCCGAGAATTTGGTACTCGGAGATGATTTTGTCGAGTTTCTTTCTATTTTCTTCTGTATAGGGATATGGGAAGTGGTAGAAGCGGAGGAAAGAGGTGAAGATGACGATGTAAATGGCCAAAATTCCCAGTAAAGCCAAATATGCAGGAAAAGAGATGGAAAAGTTTTCAACAACAAGTTTTGATTTCTGAAAGGCTCAAAGAAATGCCACACGAGTTAATATTACCTCGTGAGTGAGGACTGCAATGTCACTCGAAAACTTCTGTTGCGTCGGAATAAGCAAAACAGTAACACTTGGCAAGAGGATAAAGGTGTTTCCCACGAAGAGCATCATTGCGGCCGCATTCCAAAGAGAGTTTCTATTGAAGCTCTTTAAAGTGGCTTTCTTGAAAGACAAGATCAATCATGTTCAATTCTAATGAAAAGCCATTTTCCTTTATGAAAACGAGCAGTAAACCGAGCGCGATGCAACCGATCCCAGCACCGTACATTTGGCGACAAAAGAGCATTTCTGTGGTAACCCAACTGCGGCTTTGCTGGAATAAAGAAAAAGAACACGTTAATTTTCTTGTCAGAACAAATAATTTAAGACAAACTCGTGTAAATTCCATGTCATTCAAGGGCACTTACAAAAAAGTTATCGTAGCAGCCTTCTCTCTCCCAGTCAGTCCAGTTGTTATCAAGAAGGGATGTTCTGTCCCATTTTTTGCAATGAGCTCCGGTATCGTCGATTTTGTCCGAGAGTTCTATGCACCGATCCCATAAACCAGCGGAAATAACTGCTTTCCTAAAGTTTATCTTATTTTCTTTTTTCAGTGATTTTTTCCCTACCTTTCCATTGGCGTATCATCTTCGCAATTGATTTCTACTGTAAACCACGGACTAATGCAGTAAGAAGTTATGATCAAAATGAGCATTAGAAGTGATGAAAAATATCCAATAACTTCGTTCCAGCATAAAAAATGCATCCTGAGAAACTTTGGCGGTCCTTCATCAGGCATGTAAATTGGAAGACTGTAGATATCCTGCAGCCAGAAAACTTTCTCTGATCTGTCTTTTTCGTCCCATGAGCAACCCATAATTTATTGGATTACTTTTTCACGATGGAATGACTTTGGGGACAGTCATTTCGTGACCTTTTAATATTTGAAAAGAGCGTCATTTTTCACAAATTTGAAGCTCATTGATCATCAAATTCAACAGTAATCTGAGGGACATTATTTTTGAAGGCTTTTGGCAGGCCCTTCATACGGCTTTTGGGGGCTTAATTTCTGAAATAGATATCATATATTAGATATTTTGATAGATACATTTTTGGTAGCAAATTCTGAAAATCTAGGTCAAATTTCTTGGTTACTTTGAACTTCCCCGGAGAAAATAGATCACCACTTGAATGATTGAAAAAACAGATGTTAACTCTGCCATCCTTCAACTTCACCGACAAATAAATGGAGACTACCCTTAATTATTGAATGTGAGCCCTGCATCATGTCAAAGGTGGCGCACTGGTTGCCGAGTATTTATTCCGATGGAACTTCCTTTTTGATCAGTTCAAAATGCGTTTTCTTTTTGTAGCCTGTGTCTGTTCCTTTGCTTGTAAGAGACTACCTTTCATTTCAAAACAAATCATAATTATAAAAAAAAACAAAATTTTAAGCGGCGATGGCCTGGCAAACCAACCACGAAAAAATGCTCCGATCACTTTGGGACAGATATCCCAAGAATATTTTTCAAGTAAGCTTTGTTTGACGAGCTTTTTTTAATTATTGTTGTCATAATATCAATGCTTTTTAGGAGCGATCTTACAATATGGACGATGGAAATTTTGTCGACTCGATGCCTGAATACAGACGACAACTGTATCTCTATAAATAAACATGTACTGAAATGCACGAATGAGGAAAATAAAACTCTCTTCCTTGATTTCTAAATGCTTTTTTTATTCTTTTGGGATTAATCGTTATTATCGCTTTAGGTTCGCCCAGCTCTTTAAGTAAATTTATTTGAAGGCTTGAAAACCTACAGTAGTATTAATCTGATTCCGACATCATAGAGCCCGCATTGAGCTCATCCTTCTAAGAAATTGAATTCGATCTTCGTTTTTGTTACACGAATAATCCTTGTTTCTGTCCCACAAGTTTAACCCGTTCCCCGTGTATCTGGTTATTGAAACAGGTTGATCAAACCCGACGAACCTTCATTAACATTAACAGTTGCAAGCAGCTTGGCGATGGATGGCAAAGAAATTCATTTTCGCAGCTTTGATGTTTCTGATGTTTACCAAGTACGACTGTAGCTACTCATTTCACTCCTGCGTTGTCGGATCGCCAATTGACAAGGGGTACTTCACGTCGCGCCCAGCATTTTTCGCGTTGAACGGGAGCAGACGTTAAGAATTTGTGCTCATCAAAATTTTTGCAGCGCCCCTCTCCGCGCTCCCACCACTCAGCACGACATTCCCGACAAGTCAGCGAGTTGCTTATTCTAAGTAACGAGAAATATGTTCTCTCTCTAAACATTTATTCTAACAGTTAAAGCTCTTATACTTTATCATCATGTTTTAATCGTAAATATTCCACCTATCTCTTTCTTACTCACTGAATTAAAGTCTCACTTCTTTAGATTTTCCTATTTTTAATTGATTGTTTTATAAATATGAGTCGTAGCAGCAGGAATAAAATTAAGTTATCAGGCGATAAATTATCGCCTTGATATATTTAAGATTACACAGTAAGAAACTATTGGCCTGTACCATAGATTTGGAAACTTGTGTAGAAAACCTGACTCAGGTAATTTTCGCGAAACTGCAGTACAGATTGGTACCGGTATATGTAAAATCCTGATTCAGGGTTTCTACACAGGTTTCTAAACCTAGGGTACAGACGAATAATAACGGTAAGCCGTAACAAAGAATTCCAGAAGTCTTGTTGGCCCTTTGTCATTCCGCGGATGACAAAAAAGGGATGAATAAGGGTCGTCAGGTGGGATATCCAACCGGCAATTCCTGAATACTAAAATAGCCCCGCAAACGTAGTCATCTTTAGCAAGGCCTTACCACGAGCATTTTCTAATAGTGAAGCCGAGAATTCGCTTGAGAACAAGTTCATTTTCATTTGAAAAATTCAATAAAAACGAGACGGATTTGTTGTAGAAAAAGCTCATTGAAACAAGCAATTCGGCCTTATCAAGCCGAGATAGGGAAACTTAGAAAGTTGATTGACGATCTTATTATGAGAACAGTTCAAGAAGCGATAGGTCTTATCCCCCGTTCGGTTCCGTAATTCCGTCCTTAGTAGCGCTTTCAGAGCTAATTAGTTTTTAAAATGAGCATCGGAAATTCCACTTAAACTTGTAAGAAGCTGGCAGTTCATGTTGGCGGCGGAGCCCTGTGAACATTTGGATTGCACTATTGAGCGGTTTGTCAATGCGGCCCACAAGCCACTCAATCCCCACACTATGCACCGTCACCACCAGCGCAGGGCGTGCAGGAATTTCTTTAAAAAGTGCGCGATTCAAGCTGGCACCAAACCGTAGATACTGGTTTTCGAACTTCTGTAGTTTGCTTTTTAGACAGCTAAAACTGAGCTCAGTATCTTCTTACTGATTTTCGAGGGAAGAAGAGTTCGTAAAATGTGCAATTTTATGTCACCCAGAGAAAATCTTTCAATTAGGCTGTGTAAAATCTTGGAGATTGGAGCATGAACTTGAGAAGAAAGAAAATCCCAAGACACCAAAATTGTCGGTTCCCCAAATTTTCACAATGAACCTAATGGCAAAATAAGCAGCGGGCAGAACATGTCATCATTTGATGACTTACTGCGGAACTAATCACTGGCGACCTTCATTACCATTTTCTGAGTTGAGCTTTTTTGAAATTGCAAGAAGAGGATTTTCAGTTAGAAGGGTACACGAGTTTACTTTTCTTGCAAAACGCATAAAAAAAAATACATTTGCTGAGTTAGCGGGTAATTCAAAGTAGCAGGTAACAGTAGCAATTTGACGCCTCAAATTTACGTTATTTTTGCATGAGGCAATGATACGATTCTCTCGTGTCAATACGCGACGCTAGTTTTTATTTGATAATAATTGAGATAAAAGCGACGCCCCGTAAAAACGCACTAATTCCATTAGAACAATGTCGAGTCGGTTGTCTAAAAGAGTTCTTATCAGAAGTTCCTTTCTCTATTTCCGAAGTTAGGTATTTCATTGCCGCTTATCTGAAATTTCCGAGTTTCCTGATAAAAAGCTGAATTACGGAGAGAACGAATGTATAACTAGAATTTTGCTCAGAAGAAACAGAAGAGATGAACTTTGAGCTTTGAGCTTCCGGAGAGCAGAGTTGCAAATTTGCTGAGCTGAGTGAGCTGAGCGGGCTGAGTGAGCTGAGCAGTCGCTCAGCTCAGTGATTTTGGAAAATGATCTGATCTGCTCAGCTCAGCTCAGCTCAGACAATTTTCACTCAGCTCAGCTCAGCTCAGGTCAATTATTTTCGAACATGATCTGTTCTGCTCAGCTCAGACAACTATCACTTAGCTCAGCTCAGCTCAGCTCAATGATTTGAATACAATTTTACTACCGAAAACAGTAAATAACAGCTCAGCTAAATCAGCTCAGCTCAGCTCAATTCTCTTAAACAAAAGGTCTGCTCAGCTCAGCTCCGCTCAATGACCTCTGAAAGAGGCCAGCTCAGCTCAGAGAAATTTTTACTCAGGTCAGCTCAGCTCAACTCAGAAAAATTAATCAAAATTTGCAACTCTGTTCCGGAGAGGTTCCTTATTTTAGGGCATTTTTTCTGACACTATCTTGACCCCTTCGAAACCCAGCTCCTCGGATCTAAGCGCTCTGAGTAGGGGATACTAAAATTGAGAGTCGCGACGGATAACGGCTCTTTGAATTTCTAAACAAAGATCAAGCGACTTACGCGCTGCAAATCCGTTCATAGAAGTACCGCTCTTTCTTACATTCAAGTTCCTTATTGGAGCATTCGAAGTTAGCTAGAATCTTTTGCGTATTTTTAATAAACCCGTCGACCGCGAACCTGACCGAGCTGAGGGAAAAAGCAAGCTCAAAGTTGAAACAGAAGAAAACCACGTCGCTGAATGAGTTTTCGCTGAATTCGGAATATAAATATGGGAGAAGCGCGTTTTATTGATATTTGGTGAAGTTTTCATTTAGGCAAAATACTAGCGTACACGTAAAATTCTTTTGTGAGCACGTAATTTCCTGGATATTGATATCTAATACTCTTTGGAGGAATAGACTAATGGGATTTTTATACATAATTTTATTTGCTTACGTGTTTTGTCTTCCGCAAGATATTTCCCTCCTGACCAAGGTTCGAAATCGCCTAGGCGAATTCGCCTAAAAAGCTAGGCTAGGCTAGGCTAGGCGAATTCTTCAAATTTCGCCTAGCCTAGCCTAGCCTAGTCTCATACTGGTGCCTTAGGCGAAGCTAGGCGACAAGGCGAAAATGAAAATTCGCCTTGAATTTCGCCTAGGCGAAGAAATTAGGAGAAAAAAGTGCGAAAGGTCAAATTTTGGAGTAAAAGCAAAATTGACTGGAAGACGTTGCCTTGCAATAAAACTAGATTTAAAAAAATTCGAAGTGGTAAAAACTTAATTTTGCTTCTCTGTCTTTTTCATCTGCTATGATTATAAATTTTGGTTGAGTTTGTCAAGATTTGAATATTGATATTTCAAAGTAATTGAATCAATTTCTCCTGTGTGAATATTTATAAACTCTCGCCATTTTTGATTTAGAACAAGTCCTAACTGTTTATTCGCTCTATCGAAATCACGCTTCTAATTTTCAAAAAAATCTGCGTTTGCAAAAATTATCAATTGAAATTTGACCGCTGCGATTGAGGAACGAGTACGCATTATTCATACTCTCTCTTGCGGCGGGCTCTTACGTCTT